CTGATCATAAGCCTATGGCATGTCCACATGAGAAAGATACCACAGGATCACATGTTTAATGTGAAACATCGGAAGTTCTCTGTGTGAAATAGGGTCATTACACTTTAAGATAACTGTAATTATATACATGAATTTCATGTCTATTAATCCTAATTTTAATATTTTATGATAGCTTTATTTCACATACAGAACGTCCGATTCCTGCACATATAGTTATGTAAAGCTAGGCCAAATATTGTCAGGGTTGATTCTCCCTCTACATAAATATCAAATAATCATTTCCAATTATGTTTTTTATTAAGTGCACAAGTCTTGAGTCAACCAGTGTTTTTAGCCCACCATCATCAGATGGATCTTTCTCAATTTTCATACATATGCTTTCCTTGGTCCCTAGTTGCACCATTTGGATTAAAGGACTGATCAGAAAATCAAAATGGCCAACAGGCAGCCATCCTGGATTTTGCCTAGTAAAGATTGTTATTGCTATTGCTGAAGAAGTACTGAATGGATATCTCTCAAATTTCATATGTATGTTCCCTTTGGTCTCTCCTTGTGCTCATTTGCTTTTGGGACTGATCAGAAGAAACAAAATGGCTTCCAGGTGGCCATTTTGGATTTGGCAGTAAAAGTGTATCATTTATTTCTGCGATGGAATGTTAAAAAATGTCTTATCATTAAGAGCAAAAAAAGAGAAGGGAAGAGAAAATAAAGGAAAAGATCCAACTTTCAAAGAACAGATAAAGATCAAACGTTGGTGGGTGCCAGGATCCTTCTTGGATTTTTTGTTCCTTTTCAGAATTCCTTTATGACCACATAACTAGGTGATATATCAACCTTCTTTATGTCTGTTTAAGAAATGTCCATGAGATGGCATTGCAATGGTTTTGTTAGTTTATTGTAACATTTTTTTTTTTTCGAAGATCCCTGAATTTTTGTCCCATCCCCGTGAAGCTTGTAGGATTTTTCACCAAGTCAGTAATTTGTGCATTTCAACAAAACTTTGATTTCATTACATTTGACTGAGGTGTTTACCTTGTGTAATGTATGTCAGTGCTGAATCTTGTTTGGACAAAATTTGACTGTATTCATCATATTTACATGCACTTTAAAAATATTTTGGACAAGTTGTTGCCTTCAGCTTTTTACATTACTTTCACCTTGTGTGAAGATCCCATCACTCAGTTGTCATCTTATTTCTCTGACAAGTCACACTCTTTGTCACTGTTCCATGTAACTTTCCTTTCTTGGTGGCATTTTGACAAGACAATCCTTACAAGATATGGTTCTTGTTCATTGACATTTTGGGATGAGTGATACATTTCTTGCCACACAGAAAAAAAAACCAAACAGTAGAGACAGTTATTCTACATATATTTTACTAGTGATGCTTCAGAAGATTCCTATATACAAATCAAATCAAATTAAATCCCAAGAGCAAATAAAGGAATGAAAAGTGAAACATTTTGTTAAAACTTACCAAACCATCAGATATTTTTTCCTTTGCTAACAGAGTTCATCTGAAAGAAATTTCAATATTTCCAACCAGAAATGATGTTTTTGTGTTGTTTACAACCAGAAATGATGTTTTTGTATTCTTTACAACCAGAAATGGGTTTTTTTGTCTTCTTTACAACCAGAAATGATTTTTTGTGTTCTTTACAACCAGAAATGATTTTTGTCTTCTTTACAACCAACAATAATTTTTTGTGTTCTTTACAACCAGAAATGATTTTTGTTTTTGAGTTATTTACAAACAGAAATGATGTTTTTGTCTTCTTTCCAACCAGAAATGATTTTTTTTTCTTCTTTACAACCAGAAATGATGTTTTTGTGTTGTTTACAACCAGAAATGATTTTTTTGTCTTCTTTACAACCAAAAATGATGTTTTTGTCTTCTTTACAACCAGAAATGATTTTTGTTTTTGTGTTATTTACAAACAGAAATGATGTTTTTGTCTTCTTTCCAACCAGAAATGATTTTTGTCTTCTTTCCAACCAGAAATGATTTTTTTTTCTTCTTTACAACCAGAAATGATGTTTTTGTGTTGTTTACAACCAGAAATGATGTTTTTGTATTCTTTACAACCAGAAATGATGTTTTTGTGTTCTTTACGATCTTGAACAGTGTTGTATTCTGAATTCTTATGATTGTTTAACTGACAAAATTTACATTCTTATGTTAAAATTACCAATATGCATCATGGACAATTCATGAAACATCACATAGTATTAAAGACGTTCACTGTAAAGACCTACAACAAATACTGATAACGTGAACAAGGAGACTGTGGACGTTACTAAACACTTAGAGACTACAAAAACCTATGCACATCCTAATATTCAAATATTGTAAATGTGTCTATACTGAAGTGGTATGTCTTCGTTTTCTCCTTTTTTTCTATTATTATTTTAATATTTCAGATGTTGTTTTATCCTTTAAATATTAATCAAGAAAAAAGTTAGAAATGTTAGTACATATTCAAAGTAAAATCAAAATCCTAGATGGACTAAATGTTGATTTGTGTACAATATTACATTGAAGCATGAAAAATATGCATACATCTTTTAGTGACCAAATAGGTTCTGGTATACTATATATATTTCAAAATAAAAAGTAAAAAAAATCTTCCAAATTTTTATAAAGCAATAAAGAGATATAAAGAAAATATATCACGTTCTGGTATACACATCACATTTTGAGCACATCATAGAAGAAACAGAAATAAAGTGTTGTAACCACATCAACAATCTATGATTACATCTACTTTGTTAAGTGTGATTGGCTTCTTAACATGTAATAAAAACATTGTTTAAATGACAGAAAAGTTATAAAAAGATGTATGATATATACAAAAACAATTACCCTTTGTGTCAATAAACGTTCACATTCATTAATTGAGGTTCCCTTGGAAAGTGCCTATTAGATTTTTTGGGTCAGATCAGAAAAACAAAATGGCCGACATGCGGCCATCTTGGATTTTTTAGTGTGAAAGTTTGTTAGGTATGCTGACATTACTGTACTGGAATGCAAACTCTCACATACTGCTGATTGTACTTATGATATTCACATAATACACAGAAGCAAAATCTTCATCACAAAGTGTAAATCTGATTATATTTAAACAAGTGTTAGAATCTAGGAAACATAATCTCACTAACAAGAACAATAAAAATCAAATCAGACACGGAAATGGATAAGACCAATCTATAGATAGATTGCTGTCCTAAATATTCTTTAAAAAAATTAGGAAATGACCTAGAAAAACACTTTAAAATCTCATATCCTTGGTCAGATTCTGCCTCCCCAAAACAGTTCTTGCCAAGGTAAAAAGAACTGTTTTCTATAAACCCAACACTTATCACAAAATACAGAATAAATCAATGTCATGTTATGACATATTACACATTAACTGATTAAATGTATACAATATTGAGATAGAGGGAGTACTTGTTAATTGTCTATGAGGTCTGTTAATGAGAATGTTTTCCTCTCTGATCAGTTTCAGTTAATTGAAACCACTTAGAGAAATTAAAGCCTTCTTTTTCACTATGATTTATCTGAAAGGCCACCGTGACACTGAATTGTGTTATGCGGTTCCTTTTAATCACTCACTTAAGCCAATACATCAGTTTTGAATTATTTTTTTACATCCAAGGGGAGACTACTCATACAGGGCAAATTATGACCCTTAGTAAATCTCAACCTTCACCTTTCACATCACACTATCAAAAAAATTCTATGAATAGAAATGGAATCAGTCTGTGAACACTAGGTTTTTGATGGCACCATTTGGGACCATTGTAACACAATCTAACCTGTGTCAGTGGTAGGCCTACGATGACAGGAAAATGAAATAAAAATTATATTACCAATATATTAAAAAAAAAAAAAATTATTTTTTGCATGCAAATCAGTAGAAAATAAAACTAGTCACATTACATAATTACATATGAATTAAGGCCATTTTGGTTACCATACATTACATGCATAGACTCAAACAGAAAACTCTTGAAAGAAATTTCTGCTCGTCTATGTAGCCAAAACTCACAGTGAGGAAAGCTGAGTTAAACAGAGACAACATATTCAATAGCACAGATGTGATCCTTACATAGATCTTTAAGTTTTAAAACAATATGGCGTTTTAGGCTCTGATTTTATCATCTAGGGTCAGTGAGTGCTAGATTCATCGTATTACCACAAATTTGGGAAAGATTGCATGATATGATTTGACAATGCAGTATAAAATCTTCATCAATATCAAAATTATAACATAGATATTGCTTTTCACAAATATGTAAATTACATGTTATGTAAATATGTAAATAAAATTTTGCTGGTATTTTTTTCAGCTTTCCAATATACAGCCACTGGTGTACTTGATAAATGTATATCGTAAATTTTGGCCATTTGAACATGTAACTCTGTTATTACTTGTATAATAAAAACGATTTTACACGGAGATTGAAGGGATAGTCCAAAATTCAAATGTCTATATTGACTATGAAGTTCTTTATTAGTAAAAATTTAATCATGTTTAGGCCGGTGTTTTTTTCTTCAGATAGTATTTTTTTCTTCTGAATATAAGTCAATAAAAAAGAGTAATATACAATCCACTCAGCAACATCGGATTAACAACAACAGCAAACAGTATTCATATTTTCTTCTTTGATCTCAAACATTATATTGTAAGAATTCCTTCCTGGTATGAGATGATGCTCCAGATTACTGGAGAGGACATGTTATAAATGTTATGGCTTGTGTACATCTAGTTCAACAGTGTTCAAAATCAAAGATACCAAATTAATATAAATATATCAATGTGTGGAAACATTATATCATAAATTTACGTGAGCGAAAATGCAGATGGTTTAGAATTATAGAAACAGAATATGAAGAGTATGTTGATTTTTCTTCAATGGTTTCCGTTTATTTTGTTAGTTTTTTTGTCGTTTTTCTGTTTTCTTTTAGGTTTCAAACTCCGTTGATAAAATTTAAGTGATTAGGATGATTTTTGCAGTTCCATTCTTCGTAGCCTTCGTGCTGCCAATTTCTCCTCTAGTCCCTGGTTTACTCGAGCTTTGTTCATATCTACAATTTTGTTGTGATCTTCAATTCTCTTTTGATGTTCATCTTTCAGATCATTCATATTACCTGCAATTATTCAAATTTTACATAAATTAAAATTCTTTACCACAATAAAGATAAAGATTTTTGTGGTTCTTCTCGTTTGGTGTCTTAAGTTTAATTAAAGTTCCTGTCCTTTTGGTGTGGTAGTTATCTGGTAGTTTCTGTTGTTTTGGTACAGAAGTTTTGTGGTAGTTTCTGTTGTTTTGGTGTGGTAGTTATCTGGTAGTTTCTGTTGTTTTGGTGTGGTAGTTATCTGGTAGTTTCTGTCGTTTTGGTGTGGTAGTTTTGTGGTAGTTTCTGTTGTTTTGGTGTCTTTAAGTTTTGTGGTAGTTTCTGTTGTTTTGGTGTGGTAGTTTTGTGGTAGTTTCTGTTGTTTTGGTGTGGTAGTTTTGTGGTAGTTTCTGTTGTTTTGGTGTGGTAGTTTTGTGGTAGTTTCTGTTGTTTTGGTGTGGTAGTTTTGTGGTAGTTTCTGTTGTTTTGGTGTGGTAGTTTTGTGGTTGTTTCTGTTGTTTTGGTGTGGTAGTTTTGTGGTAGTTTCTGTTGTTTTGGTGTGGTAGTTTTGTGGTAGTTTCTGTTATTTTGGTGTGGTAGTTTTGTGGTTGTTTCTGTTGTTTTGGTGTGGTAGTTTTGTGGTAGTTTCTGTTGTTTTGGTGTGGTAGTTTTGTGGTAGTTTCTGTTATTTTGGTGTGGTAGTTTTGTGGTTGTTTCTGTTGTTTTGGTGTGGTAGTTTTGTGGTTGTTTCTGTTGTTTTGGTACAGAAGTTTTGTGGTTGTTTCTGTTGTTTTGGTACAGAAGTTTTTCTGGTAGTTTCTGTTGTTTTGGTGTGGTAGTTTTGTGGTAGTTTCTGTTGTTTTGGTGAGGTAGTTTTGTGGTTGTTTCTGTTGTTTTGGTACAGAAGTTTTGTGGTAGTTTCTGTTGTTTTGGTGAGGTAGTTTTGTGGTAGTTTCCGTTGATTTGGTGAGGTAGTTTTGTGGTAGTTTCTGTTGTTTTGGTACAGAAGTTTTGTGGTTGTTTCTGTTGTTTTGGTACAGAAGTTTTGTGGTAGTTTCTGTTGTTTTGGTGTGGTAGTTTTGTGGTAGTTTCTGTTGTTTTGGTGTGGTAGTTTTGTGGTAGTTTCTGTTGTTTTGGTACAGAAGTTTTGTGGTAGTTTCTGTTGTTTTGGTGTGGTAGTTTTGTGGTAGTTTCTGTTGTTTTGGTACAGAAGTTTTGTGGTAGTTTCTGTTGTTTTGGTGTCTTTAAGTTTTGTGGTAGTTTCTGTTGTTTTGGTGTGGTAGTTTTGTGGTAGTTTCTGTTGTTTTGGTGTGGTAGTTTTGTGGTAGTTTCTGTTGTTTTGGTGTGGTAGTTTTGTGGTAGTTTCTGTTATTTTGGTGTGGTAGTTTTGTGGTAGTTTCTGTTATTTTGGTGTGGTAGTTTTGTGGTTGTTTCTGTTGTTTTGGTGTGGTAGTTTTGTGGTAGTTTCTGTTGTTTTGGTGTGGTAGTTTTGTGGTAGTTTCTGTTGTTTTGGTGTGGTAGTTTTGTGGTAGTTTCTGTTGTTTTGGTGTGGTAGTTTTGTGGTAGTTTCTGTTGTTTTGGTACAGAAGTTTTGTGGTAGTTTCTGTTGTTTTGGTGTGGTAGTTTTGTGGTAGTTTCTGTTGTTTTGGTACAGAAGTTTTGTGGTAGTTTCTGTTGTTTTGGTGTCTTTAAGTTTTGTGGTAGTTTCTGTTGTTTTGGTGTGGTAGTTTTGTGGTAGTTTCTGTTGTTTTGGTGTGGTAGTTTTGTGGTAGTTTCTGTTGTTTTGGTGTGGTAGTTTTGTGGTAGTTTCTGTTATTTTGGTGTGGTAGTTTTGTGGTTGTTTCTGTTGTTTTGGTGTGGTAGTTTTGTGGTAGTTTCTGTTGTTTTGGTGTGGTAGTTTTGTGGTAGTTTCTGTTATTTTGGTGTGGTAGTTTTGTGGTTGTTTCTGTTGTTTTGGTGTGGTAGTTTTGTGGTAGTTTCTGTTGTTTTGGTGTGGTAGTTTTGTGGTAGTTTCTGTTATTTTGGTGTGGTAGTTTTGTGGTTGTTTCTGTTGTTTTGGTGTGGTAGTTTTGTGGTTGTTTCTGTTGTTTTGGTACAAAAGTTTTGTGGTTGTTTCTGTTGTTTTGGTACAGAAGTTTTTCTGGTAGTTTCTGTTGTTTTGGTGTGGTAGTTTTGTGGTAGTTTCTGTTGTTTTGGTGAGGTAGTTTTGTGGTAGTTTCTGTTGTTTTGGTACAGAAGTTTTGTGGTTGTTTCTGTTGTTTTGGTACAGAAGTTTTGTGGTAGTTTCTGTTGTTTTGGTGAGGTAGTTTTGTGGTAGTTTCTGTTGATTTGTTTTGGTACAGAAGTTTTGTGGTTGTTTCTGTTGTTTTGGTACAGAAGTTTTGTGGTAGTTTCTGTTGTTTTGGTGTGGTAGTTTTGTGGTAGTTTCTGTTGTTTTGGTGTGGTAGTTTTGTGGTAGTTTCTGTTGTTTTGGTACAGAAGTTTTGTGGTAGTTTCTGTTGTTTTGGTGTGGTAGTTTTGTGGTAGTTTCTGTTGTTTTGGTACAGAAGTTTTGTGGTAGTTTCTGTTGTTTTGGTGTGGTAGTTTTGTGGTTGTTTCTGTTGTTTTGGTACAGAAGTTTTGTGGTAGTTTCTGTTGTTTTGGTGAGGTAGTTTTGTGGTAGTTTCCGTTGATTTGGTGAGGTAGTTTTGTGGTAGTTTCTGTTGTTTTGGTACAGAAGTTTTGTGGTTGTTTCTGTTGTTTTGGTACAGAAGTTTTGTGGTAGTTTCTGTTGTTTTGGTGTGGTAGTTTTGTGGTAGTTTCTGTTGTTTTGGTGTGGTAGTTTTGTGGTAGTTTCTGTTGTTTTGGTACAGAAGTTTTGTGGTTGTTTCTGTTGTTTTGGTACAGAAGTTTTGTGGTAGTTTCTGTTGTTTTGGTGTGGTAGTTTTGTGGTAGTTTCTGTTGTTTTGGTTGGTAGTTTTCTGGTAGTTTCTGTTGTTTTGGTGTGGTAGTTTTGTGGTAGTTTCTGTTGTTTTGGTGTGGTAGTTTTGTGGTAGTTTCTGTTGTTTTGGTGTGGTAGTTTTGTGGTAGTTTCTGTTGTTTTGGTGTGGTAGTTTTGTGGTAGTTTCTGTTATTTTGGTGTGGTAGTTTTGTGGTAGTTTCTGTTGTTTTGGTGTGGTAGTTTTGTGGTAGTTTCTGTTGTTTTGGTGTGGTAGTTTTGTGGTAGTTTCTGTTGTTTTGGTGTGGTAGTTTTGTGGTAGTTTCTGTTGTTTTGGTGTGGTAGTTTTGTGGTAGTTTCTGTTGTTTTGGTGTGGTAGTTTTGTGGTAGTTTCTGTTGTTTTGGTGTGGTAGTTTTGTGGTAGTTTCTGTTATTTTGGTGTGGTAGTTTTGTGGTTGTTTCTGTTGTTTTGGTGTGGTAGTTTTGTGGTAGTTTCTGTTGTTTTGGTGTGGTAGTTTTGTGGTAGTTTCTGTTATTTTGGTGTGGTAGTTTTGTGGTTGTTTCTGTTGTTTTGGTGTGGTAGTTTTGTGGTAGTTTCTGTTGTTTTGGTGTGGTAGTTTTGTGGTAGTTTCTGTTGTTTTGGTGTGGTAGTTTTGTGGTAGTTTCTGTTGTTTTGGTGTGGTAGTTTTGTGGTAGTTTCTGTTGTTTTGGTGTCTTTAAGTTTTGTGGTAGTTTCTGTTGTTTTGGTGTGGTAGTTTTGTGGTAGTTTCTGTTGTTTTGGTGTGGTAGTTTTGTGGTAGTTTCTGTTATTTTGGTGTGGTAGTTTTGTGGTTGTTTCTGTTGTTTTGGTGTGGTAGTTTTGTGGTAGTTTCTGTTGTTTTGGTGTGGTAGTTTTGTGGTAGTTTCTGTTATTTTGGTGTGGTAGTTTTGTGGTTGTTTCTGTTGTTTTGGTGTGGTAGTTTTCTGGTAGTTTCTGTTGTTTTGGTGTGGTAGTTTTGTGGTAGTTTCTGTTATTTTGGTGTGGTAGTTTTGTGGTTGTTTCTGTTGTTTTGGTGTGATAGTTTTGTGGTAGTTTCTGTTGTTTTGGTGTGGTAGTTTTGTGGTAGTTTCTGTTGTTTTGGTGTGGTAGTTTTGTGGTAGTTTCTGTTGTTTTGGTGTGGTAGTTTTGTGGTAGTTTCTGTTGTTTTGGTGTGGTAGTTTTGTGGTAGTTTCTGTTATTTTGGTGTGGTAGTTTTGTGGTTGTTTCTGTTGTTTTGGTGTGGTAGTTTTGTGGTTGTTTCTGTTGTTTTGGTACAGAAGTTTTGTGGTTGTTTCTGTTGTTTTGGTACAGAAGTTTTTCTGGAAGTTTCTGTTGTTTTGGTGTGGTAGTTTTGTGGTAGTTTCTGTTGTTTTGGTGAGGTAGTTTTGTGGTAGTTTCTGTTGTTTTGGTACAGAAGTTTTGTGGTTGTTTCTGTTGTTTTGGTACAGAAGTTTTGTGGTAGTTTCTGTTGTTTTGGTGAGGTAGTTTTGTGGTAGTTTCCGTTGATTTGGTGAGGTAGTTTTGTGGTAGTTTCTGTTGTTTTGGTACAGAAGTTTTGTGGTTGTTTCTGTTGTTTTGGTACAGAAGTTTTGTGGTAGTTTCTGTTGTTTTGGTGAGGTAGTTTTGTGGTAGTTTCCGTTGATTTGGTGAGGTAGTTTTGTGGTAGTTTCTGTTGTTTTGGTACAGAAGTTTTGTGGTTGTTTCTGTTGTTTTGGTACAGAAGTTTTGTGGTAGTTTCTGTTGTTTTGGTGTGGTAGTTTTGTGGTAGTTTCTGTTGTTTTGGTGTGGTAGTTTTGTGGTAGTTTCTGTTGTTTTGGTACAGAAGTTTTGTGGTAGTTTCTGTTGTTTTGGTGTGGTAGTTTTGTGGTAGTTTCTGTTGTTTTGGTACAGAAGTTTTGTGGTAGTTTCTGTTGTTTTGGTGTGGTAGTTTTGTGGTTGTTTCTGTTGTTTTGGTACAGAAGTTTTGTGGTAGTTTCTGTTGTTTTGGTGAGGTAGTTTTGTGGTAGTTTCCGTTGATTTGGTGAGGTAGTTTTGTGGTAGTTTCTGTTGTTTTGGTACAGAAGTTTTGTGGTTGTTTCTGTTGTTTTGGTACAGAAGTTTTGTGGTAGTTTCTGTTGTTTTGGTGTGGTAGTTTTGTGGTAGTTTCTGTTGTTTTGGTGTGGTAGTTTTGTGGTAGTTTCTGTTGTTTTGGTACAGAAGTTTTGTGGTTGTTTCTGTTGTTTTGGTACAGAAGTTTTGTGGTAGTTTCTGTTGTTTTGGTGTGGTAGTTTTGTGGTAGTTTCTGTTGTTTTGGTGTGGTAGTTTTCTGGTAGTTTCTGTTGTTTTGGTGTGGTAGTTTTGTGGTAGTTTCTGTTGTTTTGGTACAGAAGTTTTGTGGTTGTTTCTGTTGTTTTGGTACAGAAGTTTTGTGGTAGTTTCTGTTATTTTTGTGTGGTAGTTTTCTGGTAGTTTCTGTTGTTTTGGTACAGAAGTTTTGTGGTAGTTTCTGTTGTTTCGGTACAGAAGTTTTGTGGTAGTTTCTGTTGTTTTGGTACAGAAGTTTTGTGGTAGTTTCTGTTGTTTCGGTACAGAAGTTTTGTGGTAGTTTCTGTTATTTTGGTGTGGTAGTTTTGTGGTAGTTTCTGTTGTTTTGGTGAGGTAGTTTTGTGGTAGTTTCTGTTGTTTTGGTGTGGTAGTTTTGTGGTAGTTTCTGTTGTTTTGGTGTGGTAGTTTTGTGGTAGTTTCTGTTGTTTTGGTGTGGTAGTTTTCTGGTAGTTTCTGTTGATTTGGTGTGGTAGTTTTGTGGTAGTTTCCGTTGATTTGGTGTGGTAGTTTTCTGGTAGTTTCTGTCGTTTTGGTGTCTTAAGTTTTCTGGAAGTTTCTGTTGTTTTGGTGTGGTAGTTTTGTGGTAGTTTCTGTTGTTTTGGTACAGAAGTTTTGTGGTAGTTTCTGTTGTTTTGGTGTGGTAGTTTTGTGGTAGTTTCTGTTGTTTTGGTACAGAAGTTTTGTGGTAGTTTCTGTTGTTTTGGTGTGGTAGTTTTGTGGTAGTTTCTGTTGTTTGTGGTAGTGTGGTAGGTAGTTTCTGTTGTTTTGGTAGTTTTGTGGTTGTTTCTGTTGTTTTGGTGTGGTAGTTATCTGGTAGTTTCTGTTGTTTTGGTGTGGTAGTTTTGTGGTAGATTCTGTTGTTTTGGTGTGGTAGTTTTGTGGTAGTTTCTGTTATTTTGGTGTGGTAGTTTTGTGGTAGTTTCTGTTGTTTTGGTGAGGTAGTTTTGTGGTAGTTTCTGTTGTTTTGGTGTGGTAGTTTTGTGGTAGTTTCTGTTGTTTTGGTGTGGTAGTTTTGTGGTAGTTTCTGTTGTTTCGGTGTGGTAGTTTTGTGGTAGTTTCTGTTGTTTTGGTGTCTTTAAGTTTTGTGGTAGTTTCTGTTGTTTTTGTGTGGTAGTTTTGTGGTAGTTTCTGTTGTTTTGGTGTGGTAGTTTTGTGGTAGTTTCTGTTGTTTTGGTACAGAAGTTTTGTGGTTGTTTCTGTTGTTTTGGTGTGGTAGTTATCTGGTAGTTTCTGTTGTTTTGGTGTGGTAGTTTTGTGGTAGTTTCTGTTGTTTTGGTGTGGTAGTTTTGTGGTAGTTTCTGTTGTTTTGGTGTCTTTAAGTTTTGTGGTAGTTTCTGTTGTTTTGGTGTGGTAGTTTTGTGGTAGTTTCTGTTGTTTTGGTGTGGTAGTTTTGTGGTAGTTTCTGTTGTTTTGGTACAGAAGTTTTGTGGTTGTTTCTGTTGTTTTGGTACAGAAGTTTTGTGGTAGTTTCTGTTGTTTTGGTGTGGTAGTTTTGTGGTAGTTTCTGTGGTAGTTTTGTGGTAGTTTCTGTTGTTTTGGTACAGAAGTTTTGTGGTTGTTTCTGTTGTTTTGATGTGGTAGTTTTCTGGTAGTTTCTGTTGATTTGGTGTGGTAGTTTTCTGGTAGTTTCCGTTGATTTGGTGTGGTAGTTTTGTGGTAGTTTCTGTTATTTTTGTGTGGTAGTTTTCTGGAAGTTTCTGTCGTTTTGGTGTGGTAGTTTTGTGGTAGATTCTGTTGTTTTGGTGTCTTAAGTTTTCTGGTAGTTTCTGTTGTTTTGGTGTGGTAGTTTTGTGGTAGTTTTTGTTGTTTTGGTGTGGTAGTTTTGTGGTAGTTTCTGTTGTTTTGGTGTGGTAGTTTTGTGGTAGTTTCTGTTGTTTTGGTGTGGTAGTTTTGTGGTAGTTTCTGTTGTTTTGGTAGAGAAGTTTTGTGGTTGTTTCTGTTGTTTTGGTACAGAAGTTTTGTGGTAGTTTCTGTTGTTTTGGTGTGGTAGTTTTGTGGTAGTTTCTGTTGTTTTGGTGTGGTAGTTTTGTGGTAGTTTCTGTTGTTTTGGTGTGGTAGTTTTGTGGTAGTTTCTGTTGTTTTGGTGTGGTAGTTTTGTGGTAGTTTTTGTTGTTTTGGTGTGGTAGTTTTGTGGTAGTTTCTGTTGTTTTGGTGTGGTAGTTTTGTGGTAGTTTTTGTTGTTTTGGTGTGGTAGTTTTGTGGTAGTTTCTGTTGTTTTGGTGTGGTAGTTTTGTGGTAGTTTCTGTTGTTTTGGTGTGGTAGTTTTGTGGTAGTTTCTGTTGTTTTGGTGTGGTAGTTTTGTGGTAGTTTCTGTTGTTTTGGTAGAGAAGTTTTGTGGTTGTTTCTGTTGTTTTGGTACAGAAGTTTTGTGGTAGTTTCTGTTGTTTTGGTGTGGTAGTTTTGTGGTAGTTTCTGTTGTTTTGGTGTGGTAGTTTTGTGGTAGTTTCTGTTGTTTTGGTGTGGTAGTTTTGTGGTAGTTTCTGTTGTTTTGGTACAGAAGTTTTGTGGTTGTTTCTGTTGTTTTGGTACAGAAGTTTTGTGGTAGTTTCTGTTGTTTTGGTACAGAAGTTTTGTGGTAGTTTCTGTTGTTTTGGTACAGAAGTTTTGTGGTAGTTTCTGTTATTTTGGTGTGGTAGTTATCTGGTAGTTTCTGTTGTTTTGGTGTGGTAGTTTTGTGGTAGTTTCTGTTGTTTTGGTGTGGTAGTTTTGTGGTAGTTTCTGTTATTTTTGTGTGGTAGTTTTCTGGAAGTTTCTGTCGTTTTGGTGTGGTAGTTTTCTGGAAGTTTCTGTCGTTTTGGTGTGGTAGTTTTCTGGAAGTTTCTGTTGTTTTGTAAACATTTTGTTGCTTTGGCAACCAGATTCCTGTTGTTCTAGTAACACTTGTTATTTACTGATTGTTACTGTTGTATTGTTATATTGTTGTTTATGTTCCTTTAACGAAGGCTGCAGTTGCTTTGGTAATGATTTATCCCACAACTACTTGAGATAACTTTTGTATGTAAGATTTCCATTTGAACTAAATGTTCCTGGAGTTATTTTGCTGAACTACATTTATTTCAATCTTACAAATTTACACTTTTTCCTCAGCATTAAACCTTGAATGATTTTTTATCAAAAAGAATAACAATATCAGACCCCAGACTTACCAAAGATTTCATCCTGTGAAGGTTTAGTAACAATATCAGACCCAGACTTACCAAAGATTTCATCCTGTGAAGGTTTAGTAACAATATCAGACCCAAACGTACCAACGATTTCTTCCTCTGATGGTTTAGTAACAATATCAGACCCCGGAGGTTTAGTAACAATATCAGACCCAGACTTACCAAAGATTTCTTCCTCTGATGGTTTAGTAACAATATCAGACCCCGGACTTACCAAAGATTTCATCCTGTGAAGGTTTAGTAACAATATCAGACCCAAACTTACCAAAGATTTCTTCCTCTGATGGTTTAGTAACAATATCAGACCCCGGACGTTTAGTAACAATATCAGACCCAGACTTACCAAAGATTTCTTCCTGTGAAGGTTAAGTAACAATATCAGACCCAAATTTGCCAACGATTTCTTCCTCTGATGGTTTAGTAACAATATCAGACCCCGGACTTACCAAAGATTTCATCTTGTGAAGGTTTAGTAACAATATCAGACCCAAACTTACCAAAGATTTCTTCCTCTGATGGTTTAGTAACAATATCAGACCCCGGACTTACCAAAGATTTCATCCTGTGAAGGTTTAGTAACAATATCAGACCCAAACTTACCAATGATTTCTTCCTCTGATGGTTTAGTAACAATATCAGACCCCGGAGGTTTAGTAACAATATCAGACCCCGGAGGTTTAGTAACAATATCAGACCCAGACTTACCAAAGATTTCTTCCTGTGATGGTATGGCTGCAATATTGGATTGCTGTGGTATCTTTCCTTTCCCCTGTTTCTGAAGAAAGAATTCACAAAGCTAAGAACCAGTCTATGACAATGTTTATATTTTTGTCTTCTGTAATGTTATAGTACTGGTAATAGGACCAAATTAACCCTGTAGTCTAAATAACGTATTTGTGATGTTTGTTTAAGTTTCTTAATATAAAAATACATAAGCCAACAGTATATGTCAACATTTCTACAGTGATGTTAACTAATGAAGGTTGTTTTGTGTTTAGGTTTTATAATTCATAATAATAAGAAACCATTTTTACGATGTTTTTAAATTTGGAAAATTCAGTTAACATCATAATCATCAACAAATTCCCAACTCGATAAACAAACCATAATTCAAGTCCAAAACTACTGAAACATATGAACAAATGAAAAATTTAGCATGAGGCATGTCTGACTCTTCCAACACCCTCCCCTTTAATGTACAACATTCACTTGGCATGACTGACGCTCTTCCAACACCCTCCCTTGTAATGTTCAACATTCGTTTTGCATGTCTGACGCTCTTCCAACACCCTCCCTTGTAATGTACAATAGTCACTTAGCATGTCTGACGTTCTTCCAACACCCTCCCCTGTAATGAACAATAATCACTTAACATGTCTGATGTTCTTCCAACACCCTCCCCTGTAATGTACAATAGTCACTTAGCATGTCTGACTCTTCCAACACCCTCAGCTGTAATGTACAACATTCACTTGGCATGTCAGACATTCTTCCAACACCCTCCCCTGTAATGTACAATAGTCACTTGGCATGTCTGACACTCATCCAACACCCTTCCCTGTAATGTACAATAGTCACTTGGCATGTCTGACACTCATCCAACACCCTTCCCTGTAATGTACAATAGTCACTTGGTATGTCCGACGTTCTTCCAACACCCTCCCCTGTAATGTTCAACATTCAGTTGCATGTTTGATGCTCTTCCAACACCCTCCCTTGTAATGTACAACATTCACTTCGCACGTTTAACGCTCTTCATACACCCTCCCCTGTAATGTACAACATTCACTTGGCATGTTTGACGCTCTTCCAACACCCTCCCCTGTAATGTACAACATTCACTTGGCATGTTTGACGCTCTTCCAACACCCTCCCCTGTAATGTACAACATTCACTTGGCATGTTTGACGCTCTTCCAACACCCTCCCCTGTAATGTACAACATTCACTTGGCATGTTTGACGCTCTTCCAACACCCTCCCCTGTAATGTACAACATTCACTTGGCATGTTTGACGTCTTCCAACACCCTCCCCTGTAATGTACAACATTCACTTGGCATGTTTGACGCTCTTCCAACACCCTCCCCTGTAATGTACAACATTCACTTGGCGTGACCAACACTCTTCTGCTTTATCAACGCAGGTTCTTATACAAACAACAACAACTGAACGACCAAGTATTTTATCGAGTATCAAATACACCTAACATCATATTACATAAGGAAACAAGGTATTTTTCTATCAGATCAAGGTGACAAACATTCACTTTCTTACAGTTTTCATCATCCTTATATATCTCTCATTTCGTAATGCAAGTCTAACCGTAAGACTGTTGAAAGTAAACACACTTAATGAGATGTATTAAAGTACTCACTTGATCCCCTACAGGCGATTCCATCCCCTGGGTCTCATCCTTCTTGTTAACTGAAAAATCAAAACATATGCTTTCAAGTTTTCTGTTTACAAAAAAGGAAACGGTTTATTCATGTCTGAATTTTAAGCTTAATCCACAGTTGAACTTTCAAAATCTGAAACATTATGAAATTTTGACAATTTTCATACAAATGTAGTTGAATTTTGAAAAAAAAAAAAAAAAAAATTGAAACATCATGAAAATTGTCAATTTTCATAGTTGAGCTGTGAAAAACTGAAACCTGATGAAATATTGAGAGTTTTATTAGTGAGAAAAAATGAAAAAGCTCTGATCAAAAAGTGTATGAAATATTTTATTAAAATTAAAATGTTAGCTTAATTTTCTAAATCATAAACATAGCATGGATTATAACACAAGATTTTGTATTAATTATAACGAAGAAGAGAAATGGCTACAATAAGAGGGATTTCAGAGACCCTATATAACACAGAAATTTATGAATCAACTCATTACAGATTTGTTGGAAATATTTGAAAAAAAAAAAAAAACCTGAAAAAAATATAAAAAATTATTTTTTATTGGTGAAGTTACAATGCTTGTAGTAAACACTGCTAGGGCTTAAATGCTTATTACTAAATCTTCTCCTCAAGAAACAATGATGAAATGTATGTCATTAAAAGGGAAATAATGGAAAATGGTAAAAATTATTATAAGATTTATCAGTTTTTCAATCAGAGTTTATAAAACATTTATCTGACAATATTCATATATATAACACTAATCTACGCATGCAGTTTCTATGGACAAGAGAACCAAAGCTCGTGCAATGCCCTTAAAACACTCTCCCCTGTATTGCCCTTTCATTGAGAAAGAAATGCCTGACATGTTCAAACACCTTTCCAAAAACATCTCCAGCATTGGGAAATAGATACCTGGGCATTTCGAAATGCCCTTCAAAAACCCTTCCTTTCTGGTCAACATAAGCAAAGTATGTCTGATGCCTTTCACAAAACCTCCTCCACTGTATTTGAAAAATGGAGAAAAAAAACCATGACACAATAACCTCTCCCCTTCAAAATCTCTCCCCTTCAACAGATATTTAATATGTCTATATATCCATTACGAAACCCACCTCTGCTTTAAGATACATAAGTGTAATCACATTTAACTTCCTTCAGTAACCCTTCTCTGTACCGGACAAAAGAAACTAGGTATGTCCGATTCCTTTCCATAACCCTATCCCTATTCGGCCAGCATATATCTTATGCTTTCCTTAAACCCTGCCATGTATTGAGCAATGTCTTCAGCAGGTATTCATGATATACTTATTTTCTATAATTTTGAATATTCCATTGATGATATATTTACTATAATTTTAGATATTCCATTGATGATATATTTACTATAATTTTGAATATTCCATTGATGATATATTTACTATAATTTTAGATATTCCATTGATGATATATATATTTACTATAATTTTAGAAACTCCATTGATGATATATTTACTATAATTTTAGATATTCCATTGATGATATATTTACTATAATTTTAGATATTCCATTGATGATATATTTACTATAATATATTTGATATATATTTACTATAATATTCCATGATGATATATTTACTATAATTTTGATATATTTATAATTTTTCCATTGATGATATATTTACTATAATTTTAGATATTCCATTGATGATATATTTACTATAATTTTAGATACTGATATATTTACTATAATTTTAGATATTCCATTGATGATATATTAACTATAATTTTGAATATTCCATTGATGATATATTTACTATAATTTTAGATATTCCATTGATGATATATTTACTATAATTTTAGAAACTCCATCGATGATATATTTACTATAATTTTAGAAACTCCATCGATGATATATTTACTATAATTTTAGAAACTCCATCGATGATATATTTACTATAATTTTAGATATTCCATTGATGATATATTTACTATAATTTTAGATATTCCATTGATGATATATTTACTATAATTTTAGATATTCCATTGATTAAGTTCACAGACCTTCACTCTAGATCTTCAATGTGTATACACTACAATGAAGTACATAACAAAGCTACCAGTTAATTGGTTAGAGAGTGAGTATATTCTATCTTCTACAGTGTGTGTGTTAGTACTGTTTGTATGACATATTTTCGGATGTACTCTAAAAACATGAAAGTAAGACACGGCTGATTTTCTTTAATATTCTACAAATGCAGTTTTATTGATGTGATAATCTACACGTTTATTCTCGAGATAGTTTTTTTTCAGTTTTTATTGTAAATGAAAACATTCTGTTCTTGCATTGAATTAATAATAAAAAAAAATTCATGACAACTCCCTTCCATGCCCCATTCTGCCACAGACAATGGGGGTTAGAGCCAATGCCGTGACTTCTAGTATAGAGGTATAATGTTCCCTTCCCTTAGATACCTAGCCCGGTATGCAGGGTGATTGAGGAATAGGGGCAATCAAAGACAGTTATCAATCGCAACAAGTTCCAGGTAAGTTTTCGGTTATTTATTGATGTGTCCACCAGTTTTGCCCATACCATAGACCAAGGAAACTGATGTAGGAAACACTTCCTCAATAATTTAGTTTTCTGATAGGAAATATGAAAAGAAAACAAGATAAAAGAAAATTTCCTGCTTTTTCCCCCACAAATTCAGAAATACCTTCAGCAAAGTCATTATTGAAAATCTATCTCTAACATCCACAGCAGATAATAACTCAAAATGGATTGAAAACAGATTTTAAACCTTTTTTCCCCCTGAAAACTAATTTAAAAACTACCCTAAGATGAATTAAATTTAATTTAAACCACTTTTAAATTTACCTTGAAAGAAAATCATATTCTTAATGTGGTTCTAAAATTATCAGATACATGTAAATATTTATTGAATTATATGCTAATGCACCCCATCTAGATCTTGACTTTTCTTTTGAGTACTTTGGATTTTCCTCATTCATCTCTAAGACTTCCAATGTTAGGCTTTATCATCACTGACAAGTCCTAGAAGGACGAAACAGCTGTACGATATAGCATCACTGGAAAGTCCTAGAAGGACGAAACAGCTGTACGATATAGCATCACTGGAAAGTCCTAGAAGGACGAAACAGCTGTACGATATAGCATCACAGGAAAGTCCTATAAAGACGAAACAGCTGTACGATATAGCATCACTGGAAAGTCCTAGAAGGACGACACAGCTGTACGATATAGTATCACTGGAAAGTCTTAGAAGGACGACACAGCTGTACGATGTAGCATCACTGGAAAGTCCTAGAAGGACGACACAGCTGTACGATATAGCATCATCACTTGACAAGTAGCATCCTGTACGATATAGCATCACAGGAAAGTCCTATAAAGACGAAACAGCTGTACGATATAGCATCACTGGAAAGTCCTAGAAGGACGACACAGCTGTACGATATAGCATCACTGGAAAGTCCTAGAAGGACGACACAGCTGTACGATATAGTATCACTGGAAAGTCCTAGAAGGACGAAACAGCTGTACGATATAGCATCACTGGAAAGTCCTAGAAGGACGAAACAGCTGTACGATATAGCATCACTGGAAAGTCCTAGAAGGACGACACAGCTGTACGATATAGCATCACTGGAAAGTCCTAGAAGGACGACACAGCTGTACGATATAGCATCACTGGAAAGTCCTAGAAGGACGACACAGCTGTACGATATAGCATCACTGGAAAGTCCTAGAAGGACGACACAGCTGATGGTGCAGTTTAATTAAAGGGAATACATGGATAGATTTCATTTTTTTCCCATGCGTTTGATTTCAGGGAAGCATTGTAATACTTAAAATTAGACTCTTCACAAGATTATAACACTCTCTGAGAGAAATTTATAAAGGTTATCAGCTTCAAACTAACACTAGTCGACACTCGCTATTGTGTCTACCATCCATCGCTGTTTTGATCGGAGATAGCCGAGTTCATCATGTGACCTTTCGGAGCCTCGTTTTAACCTGCCGATTTGATATGATTTCTTAATATGTGTAATTATGTAATTAGCTAAATCTGAATTTTCCAGCCATGTTTACTTCTTACTTTGCTAAATGACCTTATGTTTCATACTACATGCGTGACAGAGCAAAATAAATGAATTTTAATTAATCTGAATCTAAAATTGCATGCACAAAGACATTGTTTACACTCTCCGAACGATAATGATATAAATTTGTGTTGGGTCACTCCTATCTTATTTTGATTTTTTGAAGTTGTTAATAAAATGGTTACTTTAAGATATCATAATTAACAGAGAGTACACAATCTTTAACAGACATTTAACTGTTATAATGCTTTTTATCAGTTATGAAATGAACATCTAACCATTTAGTCCCTTTAATTGTTTGTGTGTATCGTATATAACTTTAAAGTCATGTTAAAAGGGGATATTCAGATGTGTGTCCATTTATTGGATAAATATATCTACAAACAGATTTATGGTAATTAATTGTTCTAATACCACATGTGACACCAGGATAACAACTCGTTAAATACTTACCTTCTCTCATCTCAAAGGCTTAAAGTAACACATTGATAGTCATTAAAACAAAGCATAACATTTTAGTTGTTAAAACACCAACAATAGAGTCGAGGCATTAGGTAATGAGCGCACTAACACAGAAACAAGTTATGTTATTGTCTCTACAACAAAGTGGGTGTATTTGAAGCAATATCATTTAAAACATATTCGACAGTTTAAATGGCAACCATTTCATTCTATATTGAAAAGGGACAAAACGGAACAGAGACTATATTAGCTTAGAATATAGCTAGTAACATAAAAATTGTGATATTATTGCCAAATGTTATGTAGCATCATCATGTTTTACTAAATCCAATCATGCAAACAAACATGGGTTTCACTAAGTACGTTAGTTTCCTTCCCTGACATCAATGTTGTTAAGATTTTTATGTAAATAATGTTTTTTTTTTTTAAATTAAAAACCAGTGCTAGGATAGACAAAAATAGGACAGACTGATGTCAATTTCCTTTCCTCCCTAGTCCAAGATCATTGTTGACAGACAGACAGACAGGCAGACAGACAAATTTTAAGATTTAGTTTATTACAACAGGAAATAAATACTATGTTACTGCAAAATCACTATTTTTTATGGATGATTAATTATTGTTGATTTCATGGGTATATTTAATTCACAAGTTCATACATCTATGAACCACTGATATTAATATAAAAAGATTTATTGAACTATATCTTTCCACAAAAACAAATGTCAAAAAAAAAAAAAAAAAAATCGAAAATTGAACCTCACAAAAATATATGACATTACAGTAACTTTGATTTTAATTAAATTTAAGTTGTGTTAATAATTTTGTATTATAAATCATTGAAGCATTAAGATTAAAATTTCAATGAAGATTATAATATATATATCACGCTGTATGTATTATCAAATTAAGACAGAATAACTGGGGATAAAACAGATAAAACAGGTTTCAGAAAAATATTCCAGGTCATCTTGTAAGAAACAATTACCTGATGTATCAACATCAAATGCGATATGTTGTTTATCTGCCAGCTCCTTGATTAGTCTCATCCTCTCCGCCCTCAGATGTTTCTCTGCTTCTGCATATTTCTGGACAACATCAGCCAAATCCACCTCAATTTTGGCATTGATAACCTAATAATCAGATAATTGTATCATTGTGTATGTCAGCATAATCGCCATGGTGATGGTTTAATTTGCATCTATATTTGCCGCAACATAGTTACTTACATTGCATAATTTATGTATTGCTAAAATAACACAAGTGTATCACACCTACATGACACTACAATTTTAATTCAAATCAAATTCAAATTTGATGACACTTAGCAATATAAAGACAAGATAAAATTTCTGCATAGAGACCCCTGACCCCTGACCCCTGACCTCGACCCCTGACCCTTACGCCTGAAAATATACAAGAAATAACATCAGAAAGTCAAGAAGGGTCAGATCCAGAATTATATCTATCACATGAAGTATCTCTCAAATCATATTTCAAAATAACTGCTGTAATATTTATATTATGAAGGTGGTTTAAGGTGTCTGCAAACTTCAACCTTTCTGGTTTTTATCACCTATAATAGATTACAATAATGCACCAAGTATTCACCTTCTCAAAAGTTTGTACCTATGATTAAAGAATGGAAAATATGTTTTCAAATTTTTTTTTTTACAAATTTGTGGGAATATATGCAATCAGAAATGAGCATTTGTCATTTTACCTAAAAATGATTAGAAACATCGGAACAAGATTTCAATTCAAATGGACAGAAATATCTACATATGTCTTCCATTATGAAAATGAAGTTCCTTTCAAAATAAAGGAAAAATTTTACGAAGGGCGGAAAAAAGCAAAATAAGATGATTTTTTTTTCCAAAATGGAACATATTGCATTATCTCCCCTGAAATGAAGGACATAAAGTTTTATTTTGGAACGATTTGGCTACAATCCAAAAATTGCCACATGTTAATTTATAATTTCAAATCATTACTACTAGTTCAGCAGTCTATTATGTGTAGTATTCTTGGACAAAACAAAACAAGCCCTCCATCCCTCCCCTGCTACCTCCAACAACAACCTCGGTAATGAAGGGATGCACTTGAGCTCCAATTTATCTCCCAACATTGCAAATAGTTTTACTTACAGCGTCAAACCACTGTAACAGAGCAGCACATCTTTTTTGGTTAGCTACATAACACTGATTGGCATGATCGTTCCTGTCATCTGTCCACATATCATTGTAGATATTGTTGGCTGCTTGTTCCAGTGTTTGAATCTCTGCTAATTTACAGTATGGAAATGTGATATTTCCAAGGTAATTGTGTGTGCTTCTCATGTTCTGTGTGGCTGCGATCAGGTTGTTACGTGTTTTTGTAGCTTCTTGGAATTTCCGCTCCTTGTCACTAAAATTAGTTATATCTGTTATTAGTAGAGAAAAATCTCCAACTTTTCCCATCATTTCACATGATTTGTTATGTAAATAAGACAATCAGAAAGAAAAAATAATCTATTTTAAAATCAAATCAAGTTAAAGGACCAAGTAAGGAAAAAATAAAGATTGTCCTTCTGTAGGGATGTCGAAATTTGGTCTGAAGCATCATTGTGTATAACAAGTGACTATAGATAGATGTATCAGCATTAGTATGAGCCAGTCATGATGGAGCAAAGACTTACCAACAAAAAGGACGATCATGTGATGACCTTACCCCTAAAATATGGTAGGTCATACAGGCATGTCCATGTGTTAGTACTAAGGGTAGAGAACTCTCATTAATGATGGAACAAGTGAATATTGGGAACACAAAACCTTGCAGTGAGGTCTTCTTCAGCCAATGAAAGAAAGGGCAAGGAATTCTCATCAGACCAAACGAAGTGGGATGGAAATTTTCTGAACAACAAATAATGTAGCAAGATATTCTCACAAAGAATTGGGCCAATAATTAACTTCTTGTCAAAGGATGGGACAATAATTAACTTCCTGTCAAAGGATGGGGCAATAATTAACTTCCTGACAAAGGATGGGCGATAATTAACTTCCTGTCAAAGGATGGGGCAATAATTAACTTCCTGTCAAAGGATGGGGCAATAATTAACTTCCTGTCAAAGGATGGGGCAATAATTAACTTCCTGTCAAAGAATGGGGCAATAATTAACTTCCTGTCAAAGCATGGGCCAATAATTAACTTCCTGTCAAAGGATGGGACAATAATAAACTTCCTGTCAAAGAATGGGGCAATAATTAACTTCCTGTCAAAGGATGGGACAATAATTAACTTCCTGTCAAAGAATGGGGCAATAATTAACTTCCTGTCAAAGAATGGGGCAATAATTAACTTCCTGTCAAAGGATGGGCCAATAATTAACTTCCTGTCAAAGGATGGGACAATAATTAACTTCCTGTCAAAGGATGGGACAATAATTAACTTCCTGTAAAAGGATGGGGCAATAATTACCTTCCTGTCAAAGGATGGGGCAATAATTAACTTCCTGTCAAAGGATGGGGCAATAATTAACTTCCTGTCAAAGGATGGGCCAATAATTAACTTCCTGACAAAGAATGGGGCAATAATTAACCTCCTGTCAAAGGATGGGCCAATAATTAACTTCCTGTCAATGAATGGGGCAATAATTAACTTCCTGTCAAAGAATGGGGCAATAATTAACTTCCTGTCAAAGGATGGGCCAATAATTAACTTCCTGTCAAAGGATGGGACAATAATTAACTTCCTGTCAAAGAATGGGGGAAGGAAAATTTCGACCATCAAAACAATGAGGTAAGGAATTTCCTTGACATTAAATAACGAGGCAAAACATTCTAATACCAGCATGCAATTCTGTGACCATTAAATGATAAAGTACAAACTTCCTTTACGCCAAAGAAATTCTCATAGGACCAAAAGAGAGGATTTCAGTTTAAAGACTTTCAATTGGTGAGGCAGGACATTGTTCTCATCACCAAAGATCAACAGGGGCAAGGAATTGAAATTCAATAGACTGATTTTTATAAATTTTTATCAATAAATGTCAACATCACTATTTCAATTAAAGTCCTAGGAATATAAGTATGAGGGACACAGTTGGACGAAAGCATTACTGGTATCACTGTGTAAAAATGATTTTTTTATGTAAACAAAAAAAGTTGGATTTTTTTATGAGAGGTGGAGCGATCTAAAACAAAGTTAAGTCACATCAAAGGAAATATATTTTCTGTTTTACCAGCAGGTTGTTAAAACTGACATGAATCTAAGTTCTTATATTACAAAAATATCAGTTTTACCTTGCAGGAACCTTCATCATATCTCCCCAACATTGTACAGCCGTTGAAAGTTGATGTACCGCATGCTGTAGCAGAACATGTCCATTTGTCCATTTGTATTTAGCGTCATCTATTCTTTTTTTTTTTTCTTGTAGCATGTCTAGATCTGCCTCAAGTTTGTTCTCTAAGTCACTGCCATAACTTCCTTTGAAGATGTCATCTGACAAAATTCAAACATAATATTCACTTTTAAAAAAATGTTTGAATATAGAATTCAGGTAAATTTCCTATCGTGTATTGTGTTACCTGAACATCAAACTGTCCATGTAAAGTATTAAATCAATCTAAAAAGATTCAAATTATACAATCACAATGGGCATCAATTTATATTTATTACATATTCTAATGTTTCACACAACGTCTACACTACTCCCCTCACTAGTCTACACCAGTACACACAACATCTACACTACTCCCCTCACTAGTCTACACCACTACACACAACGTCTACACTACTCCCCTCACTAGTCTACACCAGTACACACAACGTCTACACTACTCCCCTCACTAGTCTACACCAGTACACACAACGTCTACACTACTCCCTCCACTAGTCTACACCAGTACACACAATGTCTACACTACTCCCCTCACTAGTCTACACCAGTACACACAATGTCTACACTACTCCCCTCACTAGTCTACACCAGTACACACAACGTCTACACTACTCCCTCCACTAGTCTACACCAGTACACACAACGTCTACACTACTCCCTCCACTAGTCTACACCAGTACACACAACGTCTACACTACTCCCTCCACTAGTCTACACCAGTACACACAACATCTACACTACTCCCTCCACTAGTCTACACCAGTACACACAACATCTACACTACTCCCTCCACTAGTCTACACCAGTACACACAACATCTACACTACTCCCTCCACTAGTCTACACCAGTACACACAACATCTACACTACTCCCCTCACTAGTCTACACCAGTACACACAACATCTACACTACTCCCTCCACTAGTCTACACCAGTACACACAACGTCTACACTACTCCCCTCACTAGTCTACACCAGTACACACAACGTCTACACTACTCCCTCCACTAGTCTACACCAGTACACACAACGTCTTCACTACTCCCTCCACTAGTCTACACCAGTACACACAATGTCTACACTACTCCCCTCACTAGTCTACACCAGTACACACAACGTCTACACTACTCCCCTCACTAGTCTACACCAGTACACACAACATCTACACTACTCCCCCCTAGTCTACACTAGTCTACACCACTAGTACACACAACGTCTACACTACTCCCCACACTAGTCTACACCAGTACACTACTTCTTCACTACTCCCCTCACTAGTCTACACCAGTACACACAACGTCTACACTACTAGTCTACACCAGTACACACAACACACTACTCCCTCCACACTACACCAGTACACACAACGTCTACACTACTCCCCTCACTAGTCTACACCAGTACACACAACGTCTACACTACTCCCTCCACTAGTCTACACCAGTACACACAACGTCTACACTACTCCCCTCACTAGTCTACACCAGTACACACAACGTCTACACTACTCCCCTCACTAGTCTACACCAGTACACACAACGTCTACACTACTCCCTCCACTAGTCTACACCAGTACACACAACGTCTACACTACTCCCTCCACTAGTCTACACCAGTACACACAACGTCTACACTACTCCCTCCACTAGTCTACACCAGTACACACAACGTCTACACTACTCCCTCCACTAGTCTACACCAGTACACACAACGTCTACACTACTCCCTCCACTAGTCTACACCAGTACACACAACATCTACACTACTCCCTCCACTAGTCTACACCAGTACACACAGTCTACACACACACCAGTACACACTACACTACTCCCCTCACTAGTCTACACCAGTACACACAACGTCTACACTACTCCCTCCACTAGTCTACACCAGTACACACAACGTCTACACTACTCCCTCCACTAGTCTACACCAGTACACACAACGTCTACACTACTCCCCTCACTAGTCTACACCAGTACACACAACGTCTACACTACTCCCCTCACTAGTCTACACCAGTACACACAACATCTACACTACTCCCCTCACTAGTCTACACCAGTACACACAACGTCTACACTACTCCCTCCACTAGTCTACACCAGTACACACAACGTCTACACTACTCCCCTCACTAGTCTACACCAGTACACACAACGTCTTCACTACTCCCTCCACTAGTCTACACCAGTACACACAACGTCTACACTACTCCCTCCACTAGTCTACACCAGTACACACAACGTCTACACTACTCCCTCCACTAGTCTACACCAGTACACACAAGTCTACACTCCCTCCACTAGTCTACATACACACAACGTCTACACTACTCCCCCCACTAGTCTACACCAGTACACACAACGTCTACACTACTCCCTCCACTAGTCTACACCAGTACACACAAAATCTACACTACTCCCCCCACTAGTCTACACCAGTACACACAACGTCTACACTACTCCCCTCACTAGTCTACACCAGTACACACAACGTCTACACTACTCCCCTCACTAGTCTACACCAGTACACACAACGTCTACACTACTCCCTCCACTAGTCTACACCAGTACACACAACATCTACACTACTCCCTCCACTAGTCTACACCAGTACACACAACATCTACACTACTCCCCTCACTAGTCTACACCAGTACACACAACGTCTACACTACTCCCTCCACTAGTCTACACCAGTACACACAACGTCTACACTACTCCCCTCACTAGTCTACACCAGTACACACAACGTCTACACTACTCCCCTCACTAGTCTACACCAGTACACCAGTACACACAACATCTACACTACTCCCTAGTCTACACTAGTCTACACCAGTACACACAACTAGTCTACACCAGTACACACAACTCCACTACTCACTAGTCTACACCAGTACACACAACATCTACACTACTCCCTCCACTAGTCTACACCAGTACACACAACATCTACACTACTCCCTCCACTAGTCTACACCAGTACACACAACATCTTCACTACTACCTCCACTAGTCTACACCAGTACACACAACGTCTACACTACTCCCTCCACTAGTCTACACCAGTACACACAACATCTACACTACTCCCTCCACTAGTCTACACCAGTACACACAACATCTACACTACTCCCTCCACTAGTCTACACACAGTACACACAACATCTACACTCTACACCAGTACACACACTACTCCCCCACTAGTCTACACCAGTACACACAACATCTACACTACTCCCTCCACTAGTCTACACCAGTACACACAACATCTACACTACTCCCTCCACTAGTCTACACCAGTACACACAACATCTACACTACTCCCCTCACTAGTCTACACCAGTACACACAACATCTACACTACTCCCCTCACTAGTCTACACCAGTACACACAACGTCTACACTACTCCCTCCACTAGTCTACACCAGTACACACAACATCTACACTACTCCCCTCACTAGTCTACACCAGTACACACAACATCTACACTACTCCCCTCACTAGTCTACACCAGTACACACAACATCTACACACTACTCCCATCACTAGTCTACACCAGTACACACAACGTCTACACTACTCCCACCACTAGTCTACACCAGTACACACAACGTCTACACTACTCCCTAGTCTACACTAGTCTACACCAGTACACACAACGTCTACACTACTCCCAACACTAGTCTACACCAGTACACACAACGTCTACACTACTCCCTCCACTAGTCTACACCAGTACACACAACGTCTACACTACTCCCTCCACTAGTCTACACCAGTACACACAACATCTACACTACTCCCTCCACTAGTCTACACCAGTACACACAACGTCTACACTACTCCACCTCCCTCCACTAGTCTACACCAGTACACACAACAGTCATCTACACTACTCCCTCCACCACTAGTACACACAACATCTACACTACTCCCTCCACTAGTCTACACCAGTACACACACAGTCTACACCAGTACACACAACATCTACACTACTCCCCGCACTAGTCTACACCAGTACACACAACATCTACACTACTCCCTCCACTAGTCTACACACCAGTACACACAACAGTACACACAACATCTACACTACTCCCTCCACTAGTCTACACCAGTACACACAACATCTACACTACTCCCTCCACTAGTCTACACCAGTACACACAACATCTACACTACTCCCTCCACTAGTCTACACCAGTACACACAACGTCTACACTACTCCCTCCACTAGTCTACACCAGTACACACAACATCTACACTACTCCCTCCACTAGTCTACACCAGTACACACAACGTATACACTACTCCCCTCACTAGTCTACACCAGTACACACAACATCTACACTACTCCCACCACTAGTCTACACCAGTACACACAACATCTACACTACTCCCTCCACTAGTCTACACCAGTACACACAACATCTACACTACTCCCTCCACTAGTCTACACCAGTACACACAACATCTACACTACTCCCTCACTAGTACACCTACACACAAGTACACACAACGTCTACACTACTCCCTCCACTAGTCTAGTACACACAACGTCTACACTACTCCCCTCACTACACCAGTACACACAACATCTACACTACTCCCCCCACTAGTCTACACCAGTACACACAACATCTACACTACTCCCTCCACTAGTCTACACCAGTACACACAACATCTACACTACTCCCCTCACTAGTCTACACCAGTACACACAACATCTACACTACTCCCCTCACTAGTCTACACCAGTACACACACCATCCTCACTACTCCCTCCACTAGTCTACACCAGTACACACAACATCTACACTACTCCCTCCACTAGTCTACACCAGTACACACAACGTATACACTACTCCCACACAGTCTACACCAGTACACACAACTAGTCTACACCAGTATCTCACTACTCCCTCACTAGTCTACACCAGTACACACAACATCTACACTACTCCCTCCACTAGTCTACACCAGTACACACAACGTCTACACTACTCCCTCCACTAGTCTACACCAGTACACACAACGTCTACACTACTCCCCTCTACACACTAGTCTACACACAGTACACACAACAGTCTACACCAGTACACACAACATCTACACTACTCCCTCCACTAGTCTACACCAGTAAGGTGATATGTAATATTATTTGATACTCACTTAGAGCTTGATCTTGCTCCTGACATAACTTGTTTAACTTGTCTACTTCAGCTTTTGCTGCAGGCATTTTACTCTCAGCTTCTTTGATATCTTTTGCATTTTTGTCGAGATCTTTTTGAACTTGATCCTGTTCTGCTAATGCCTCCATGTATTCTGCCTGTAACGTCAAAGGGCATTTAAGGATGGGCTTATACTCATTGGTAGATCTGCTTTCCTTTAAATATTGAAAAGTTTTAATTTAATCTTTGACTCTGATTTGTATAACTGATATCACAAATCAAACTTCAACTAATCACAGTTGTGATTGGTAAGGTAGCTTATAGCCTCAACTCTTAACGCATATATTTGACAGCATGTCACTTAAACTTCAACACAAATCATAGGCATACTATGTCAGATAATATATAATCCTATGTTGTAAGTATCGGATATTTGGGGCCTATTGACAGGGGATAGGTAAGATACAAATATATTATGGTAACATGTGCAGGGGAAAGCCATCAGACACCTGTTTATATGTATATATATTTGTGTTTACTTATTTTTTTTCTCTGTAATCAAACTACTACTACTACTACAGCATCACATCTGTACTTGTGGCTTTTTTGAGAAAGACTTTGTACAAGTGTGTTAATATGTACATATATATGATGCTTAATATATTATGTGAAGAAATATGAATGAAAATCAGAGAATTTATGTAAGATATTAATGCCTTCGCTGTCCTTGACCTTGAACCCATGAAATACAGCGATATTCAATGCATGCAGATAGGTGTACAGTTTGACCAAATCCATGAAAAGTTGTGAAGTATTCAAACTGAATCAGTTTGTGATTTTCTATTATAGCAAATGTGATCTTGCCCTCGACTTTGGGTTCCAGAAACACAGTGATGCCTGAAGTATGCTCATAATTGTTCATTGTAAAACTTTTGACCAAAATCATCAAAGAATGAATTTGCTAGCTGCTGACATTAAATCAGGACAGGTCATGACATTATGCTATGTGATGCATCGCAACAGGATTGTACAGACATGGCATAATGATATGCCCCCCCCCCCCATCATTTTATGGTAAGAGCATAAAAATTTTTTAAAAAGAATGTAATATGTAAGTGAGACAACAGGAATGCATTGTTGAATCTTCAGAAAAAATTTTTTACCAAACTTTTTAAATTTTATTTTGTGATGTGTGATGTTGATTTCATAAATGAAATTCTGAAAATACTTTATACAATGACACAATATCTAGTACTGAATGATATTATTGATTTTGTGTAGCACAAAATATAGCCATATAACTGAATTTGTATCAATGTGCTGACATCTAGATATGTCTTATATACAAATCTTACCTCTTCTTTTTTTAGTTCCTTGGTGAAGTTAGACTCCCCTTTAGATAGCACCATCTGCTCCATTGTCTGGGTGAGGTTATCCACATCTTTCTTCTCCTTTTCCCTATCACATTTGAAAAACAAAACAAAAAAATTATGACTTGGGAACAATTAAAAAGCACTATTTAAGGTTTTTCTTTAAACATTCTTCTTTTCAGGAAACTTCATTGCCTGGTGTTTTTTTTTATTATTTTATTAACAAATTCATAAATATATAAAGAATGATACACACAGGAATAAACTAAGTAGCATAATGATTTTTTAGATTTTATTTCAAAGCCTTTACTAGAATTCACATTCCCTTGCTTGCTAGTCTTACACTCAGCTGATAGAGCTTAAACAAAGGCGTCTTTAGCCAAGCAGTATTTTGAGAATAGTATTTCCTAGCCTCACAGTATATTGGACAGCCATGGGCTTATCACAAGAGTTTCACTTTATTGTACATTCTAGGATTTATTTCCATGGTAACAGTTTATTGTACAGCCCTGGGCTTATTACCAGTATTACTGCTTCATTGTAGAGGAGTATGCTTATTATCAGGGTTACACCTTTATTATACAGCCATGATCTTATTGCCAGGGTTGGCATTTTATTTTAGTAATGGGCTTATTGCCAGTGTTACACTTTATTGTACAGCCATTGGCTTATTACCTGGGATACAGTTTTATTGTTTAGCTATGGGTTTCTGAATTGATAAATATGGTATTTAAGCTTTTAAAGGGAGAACTTTTTGTAAAAATAATAATTGGACATCTTATTTTTCTTTGTGAAACAGAAACATCTGAGGGGAAAAAACACATACAGAATCAGAAAGATGTCAAGTAAAAACTTTACGTACGTTTTTTCTGACTTTTTCTTTAGCTTTTCTTTGAGATCTGTTTCCTCTTTCTTGAGAGATTGTAAACGCCCATCCAGTTGTTCGTACGCATTACGTAAGTTCTTGAGTTCCAGTTCATGGATCTGGTTGTCCAGTTTGACATAATTCTTTATTTGTTCAGCAGTCAATTCCTCTGACATGATTATTTTGTAGTTGTGTTTAGCACCAAGAAGATCCAATGAAGTTGTCAGTCAACTAAAACAAACACGAGGAAATTCTACAAAGGAGATTCACTGCTCTAATCTTTTAGCTGTCACTCAAAATATTACTGCACCGATAATCAGTCCATACATGTCTTTGTGTACGAACCTCTGATATATGCCTCTTCTATTTTGATTTTTGTGTAATTTATGCAACTCATCAAAATTTGTATTTTTTAATTTAAGAACACTTCAAAGAAAAATATTTTGCAAAGTATATATCAATTTCGAAACGAAACACAGAAGTAGTATATTAATAACTGATAATGTATCCAGGTATTTCGCAATATATAGTTCTTATTGATTAACTTCTGCATGAAGGTCAGTTGCTTCAATGAAATGCAGTAAGAGTTATCATTGTTGATGATCGTGTTTTTCGAATAAAATATGTTGTTTTAGGGTGAATTACCGACATCTGAGGGTTCTAAAGAACTGATCGACCGCGGTCTCCCATGGGATTCACACGATCATTTATGTCGGCGTCAGATAGTCAGTAAAATTATGTGCACTTTTCGCATGTTTCTAAAGCTTCTTTAACGTATCATTGTTAACCACTGATAATGAAAATTATATATATACACACAATCATGACATTACATATTGAAAATTAAACCGGCGATGTCGGCAAAAAATTAAAACTGACTGACAGGTGCCCGTTGTAAACTGCATATAATATCATTATATCTCAGTTGGGTGCTAAGAGAAGACCAAATTTTCACCGCATGTAAATGCTTAAAGGTTTAGAAGGTTTGATGTTTACCTTGGTAAAATAAATAAGAAGATTGCTGCAAATATTCCACAAAAATCCAGGAGAAAACTGCTAGCAGTCTACAATTGTTTACGGAAGTGACGTAATTGTGTACGCTCACCATAGAGATTACAACAACGCCTAAACTAATCAATAGGTCCTACCAAACCGGAATGGACGCGTTTTCCGGAACATATCCTAGCCATCAACTTATAAAATGATTTTGATTGTATCAAAGTTCCGGTAATTCAGGAGGGAAATGCACTATTACGTACAGACACAACAGTTTAAATATTAATGGTGTATTATTTGTATTTTATTATTATAACAAAAAAAACAAGCAAAACCGGAAATTAAATTGAAGTCTCATGCTTATTCAGGACTCTGACCTTTAACCTTGCAATGCATGACAGATGGGTGACACTGATGATTATTAAATTATTGTTCATGATAATAACGTTGTGTATAAAAAAAACACCTTGAGATTCCCACCATCGTATGATTTGTTTATGTTTGATTATCTCCCCTCTCACTACTTCTTTACTCTTACAGTTTATGTTCAGTGTGAGACTTACATGTGGAATTTGAGAAAATGTATTTGGTTCTTCACAACAAATCTAAAATGGAAGCTGTTTGTCGCCCATTTCATTCTGGCAAAACTATAAACCCTGAAATAACACATGAATGATTTTTTAACGAAGATATCTTCCTGACGGCCATTTTATTATTGTGTTTTGGATTTGTGAGGTAGTTGTCATTGGTCAGCTATTGTCATTCCAATAAAATGGATTTCCAAAATGGAAATGGTAACTTTTTGTATTGCATATAAATTTTGAGAAAAGATCCATCGGAAAAGTTTATATTGTACTTAAACTTTCAAAATCCAAAATGGCCACCGGTCAAGACATTTTTTTTCCAAATCAGTCACAAATCTGAACTGGCATAATTGAGAATTAAGGGCAACCTAAAACTGTACATCAAGTTTGAGAAAAATCCATGTAATACTTTGAAGATCTAAATCCACGAGGGACAACTGATATGAGAGTGTTTTGGTTTTTTGCATTTTGTCTCGAAATTAAACTTCAAAGGGATCAAGGGATAACTACAGAGGATATTTCAAAATTTATGATGGTTACTAGTCAAACTCTTTTCTTCAATCCAGTCTCATAAAAGAAATAACAAATTCATGGTAACCAAGGGGACCTACATATGTAATCTGGGACAAATACATGAAACACGGATCAAGTAATGGGAAAAGTCAAACTTTTAGTTTTAATGTCGAAATTGAAAATAGCATCTTGATGGTCTGTGATGTTTAGCGTAACTAGGAAACAAGAAAAACTTACATGTAAGAAGAATCATCATGCAATGCTCAAGAAATATTTACTATAAATGTTGTTTCAGAAAAGACAGAAAATCATGAAACAAACAAGAATTTAATTAGCTCACCCTTTGACCATCTGATGATGGTGGCAGTGTCACCAAATCATCTGCATATTGTAAATGCTTGAATTATCTGATACAAAGGCCATCATTAAGTATTTCAAAACTCAATTTTCGGACCTAACAGCATCAAAATAATGTTATTATTTTACGTTATAGCATCTGTACACACAGATGTGACAACTATATAATAGAATTGATTATAAGAACTTTTTCTTTAATGACCATGTAAAACACAAACATGTCATCTTTACTTTTGTTGGGCATTAATATAATATTTGATGACTAGAGTATGGTGACATTGGCAGATGGACTAAAAAGTGTGACCTTTCACCTTTTAACCTTGACTGATATTTGATAAATAGAGGTTACTGACATTGTCAGATGGACAAAAATGGTAAAGTGTGACCTTTCACCTTTTAACCTTGACTGATGATCACCAGAATTTAAATGTTATAATATTGTCATCTGTATTAAGTGAACATGTAAAAGGATTTTCAGATGTACATTTATCTGTACTTATTCTAATGAAGGTATACTAAATAAATGGGAAAACAAAATATAAACAAGACACAGAACTCACTGTAAATTCATTTAATGTAAATCACATCTTGACATTAGCATTTAGGAAGATATATATACATTTAAAAAAAAATTCAAACCAACTGAATTTACCCTAAAAAGTGTTCATAGGATCATCCTAATTATGTTCCTTATCATAAAATGCATCATCTTTAGAAACAAATGTATTTTTTAAATTTAAATATTGAAAAAAATTTTAATCTTACAACTGTGACAAAAGTAAAGATGCAGTAAGTTTCATATACCTCCGAGCTATCAATTCCATTGGTTAACATCACATAAACATATTCAACAAAGCTGTTAGATGGTGACTATTCCTGTACAAGGCTAAGTTATATAATCCAGGTAATTAGTTATCCCTTAATTATTTGACAAAGATGTGATCACATTTTTAAATCACTGAGTAAGAATGGCACCGAAGGTTGATATAACAAATTGTTAACCTGACATAAGACGGCTCCAGTCTGACTATAAATGCAGTTTTATTAATCACACTGTATACAAGGAACCCCCCCCCCTCTCCAGTTTTATTCAAAAAGTCATATATGTTCTATGACTAAATTTACACTGGATAAAATTGAACAGTTTTATATGAGGGCAAAAATAATACCCACAGTCTGAGCACAGAGGAAACTGCTTAATATCATGTTCCATTTGTCAGGGGAAATGTGATAATAAGTGGAATGTGACATTAAGTGGTTTTCACTGATAAAGAGATTACCTGTATATTGTTTCAATTTATCATTAAATTGTACAGTTACACAAAAATCCTCATCATTCAATCGTCACTCTGTTATAATCATCATATAATCATTTAATGAAATATGAGAATATTTTGTAGGAACACCATATAGTATTGCATCTTATACACAATGATATTAAAGCAGTTATTGTTAGCTTCAATTCTAAATTTTTTCTAAAATTTTATTTTGCTTAGTATTAAGCCTTTGTTACTTGTTAATAATTTTCAATTCATATATTTATCAAAATCTTGACAACCATTGAAATCATTTTCATTTTCTGTTGTGCAAAGTTTTGTGCCTATAATCAATAATCAGAGCTAACCACTGACAGAGATTTAAGTTTTTGTGTAAATCTGGACATCATTCATTCATTTTTTTCAATCAAATGATCAACATTAAGAGATTAAGAACCTGAAAACTTACAAAAACATCATTCAAATTTTGAATTATCTAGTGCAAAATTTAGAAAAATTTGAAATGCTTTTTCTAATATCTTCATGTTGTCTTACAGTCATATTGATGCTAAGTCTACAGAAATCCAGAGACTTTAATGACTCAAGTTGTTTTAGAATTGTTTACTAATTCTAGGTCCTGGCCTTGTTGCCATAACATCCTGACCCTCCAACAGAATACAGTTTTATCAGGAAGTCAATATCCCTAATATAGACAGAATGAAGTGATGAAAGCCTGGTGAATTGTCTGATGAAACACGATGAAGATCAGGGTTTCCAGAGCTTGAGAAGTCCGTCCTCTGAATATGTGCCAATCAAATTCTGATGTGGATGGTGTGCTATACCTATTACATCTTTTTCATGTACCTGAAAGGATGAAAATCAACTTTATAGCAACACTTAATATAGGTTATCATACACAGAAATAATGATTCATCTACCTGGTATTATCAATAAACAAATTACTGGAATTAAGCTATTGCCTTGGTGTAAGGCCATTCTACTGTATTTATGAAAGATGTTCCCACCCTCCTAAATGTTTCACCCCAGTATTTGATAAATTTCCATTTGTAGTTAAGCTGAAGCTGTCTTCACTCCCCTAAATGTTTCACACTATTATTTGAGATATATCGGTCTGTGGTTACACTGGAGCAGTCCCCACTCCCCTCAATGTATCACACTATTATTTGAGATATATCTGTCTGTGGTTACACTGGAGCAGTCCCCACTCCCCTCAATGTATCACACTATCATTTGAGATATATCTGTCTGTGGTTACACTGGAGCAGTCCCCACTCCCCTCCATGTATCACACTATTATTTGAGATATATTTCAAGGTTAGAAAAATACATTTTCAGCTACTAGTCTGTCGAGCAAGAGAAACTTGAAATTCACTTGCCCGAATCCAATATTCACTCACCCGAAGAAAAAAAGGCAACAACAACTTTTATTATCAATTTCTATATCAAATGTTTGAACTCAACACTTGCTTTTATTGTTTTACTCATATTTAATTCACTGTTAACGCGAGCTAGAACGTAGACTTTTTGACAGTAACTATGTACAGAAAACAACCTTGTTTACAACATTTGTGGTGACGTTATAGGTTTTCGCATAGTCTGGATCAGCCCGAGTCTTGACACGTGGTGTAAACAAGGATACTACATCTATGTATTTCATCGACTATCAGTGGATCTAAACTAGTTTTAAGAGTGTTTAAGTTGATAAACGTCATTTATTATGGAATATCCAATAGTCAGAACTACAAATTTCACTTGGCCGCCGGACAAGTAGCTGAAACAAATCACTTGTCCGCAAGTAGCTTTGAATCGTCTAGATGAGCGGACAAGTGGATTTTTCTAACCCTGATATTTGCCTGAAATTTTACTCTCCTCAATGTATAAACCTAATATTTGTTATAAATTCTTACCGTCAGTGTCCTCTCTAGTTTGCCTGTTGTCACACTAAAGCAGTAAAGAACCATATCCTCTCCTGTGCAGTAGATCCATTCTCCACGGGGAGAGACAGTGGCACATACAAAATCTCCGCCGTCTCGCTTACCACTGGAGAAACTCCTAACAATCTGAATTATACAAATGTTATAATCATTGTAGCCTCTGTTTGACAGAGATCATATCCATACATTGAGAAGCATTTGTGTTCGTGTAAATGTAATTTTAATGTAGCCTGAATATTTAGTCCATTTGATTACGATCCTATACATGCCATACCTCAAAATTTACCAAGGTATGCTATTGCTATGTCACCTTACTATGCAATGAACAACAAATCGAGCTTTACTTCCTTTACAACAAAATGAAAATGATCAATATAAACAATGCATAATTGAGTTTACCCTTATCCCATTGGCACTCATATGCCAATGAATGCCAACTGAAGGCTATTCAATGCTTAATTATATATTCCATCAATCAAATGCTCTGTGTAACGCAAGTCATAATTGACAGAACAAAGAAGCCATTTGCTTACCAAGTACCAGGGTTAGCATTATGTAAATCAGAAAGCAGTTCAGTCTCATTCCATTAAATAACTTTTTTTTCACGAAGGGGAGGTAATTCACTTGAGGGTTTTTCTCAGAAAGGGGAGATAAATCAGTTATATTCACCTGTCCTTGCATATTCATGATGACGACTGTGTTTGACCTGTTACAGACCACAAACTGTTCTGCCATCCTGGGTAGGAGATGTATACTATGTACAGTGATATCTGTTCCCGTACCCCCAAGGGGTTTAAACGTGTTCTGGCACTCAGTCGTCTTTACATTCCAAACCTTCACTGTACCATCAGAGCTGGCACTGAAAAGTAATGACAAAATCAAGACTTGTATCTTTTTAGGATTACAGAAATAAAACCACTACCCTATTTACTAAAGTTACACTAATTCAGTCGTCCCTTTGATTGCATTACCTTACCTGATGATATGGTGGCCGTCCGATGTGAAGACAGCATCATTAACAAAAGATGTGTGACCTCTGAACTCTTTCAAAGTTTTCCCAGACTTTAGACCATTGATTCTGCAATGAGAACAATTCCAATATAAAGAAGAAATATAAAGTAATCTTCAGCAGCATTATGTACTTTTTATCTTTACAATATGATTTCTGATTACTCGGCAACCAGTGAGAAGTTGAAAATATTGATTACCTAATGGTCTGGTCAAATTTTTCTATCTATACGGGTCAATGAAAGGTTAGAAATATTGGTCATCTGATGGTCTGGTCAAATTTCTCTATCTATAGGGGTCAATGAGAGATTGGAAATATTGGTCACCTGATGGTCTGGTCAAATTTCTCTATCATATTAATTACCTGATGGTCTGGTCAAAGGAAGCACTCAGAAGCTGACTGTTATCTTTAGAGAAACTAACACAGGTGATGCCTTTACTGTGGGCACGTTCAAACCTCCGCAAACATTGACCAGTCATAATCTTCCAAACCTACAATATAATATTGCATTACAATATTACAATTAAATATATATATAAGTCCTTCCAAAACCTGTTTATAGTAACACAGTACATAGAATGTTCATGTGTAATGTTGATATAAACATACCCAAAAATCATGAGCAACACAAAAAATAATTTCAACCAAAATAAATAATTTTCTTTCAAAAAATTACTTCAGACTGAATGCATGAGCCCACAATATACAAATTTTCATTTAGTAGGTCTTCAATAGAATAACCCATAAATCAATGTCCTTTAATAAGCCCACTCCTAGACTTTGGTCTAATGTTCAAAGGTTGGCCACTTTGTATTATCGTGGAAAACATATTTATAGGTATCTCAAAAATTTTGGTCGGAATGTGAGAACTGACTCTTAAACATGAATAACGAAACAGATTGCAATATGAAAATCCAAAATTTTGTGTAAGAAGCATTATATTTTCTTAATTTCTGAAATCTACAAATCAAATCAAATCTACACGACAGTTATAGGTCAAGACAAGGTCAAATACAATGTACAATTCATAAGTTAGTCCAGCTATGCTCAATGTAATACCACTGAACTAGAAAATATGAAATAGTTTTTGACTGTAGTGAAAAGTCTCATGAAATTAATATATAAACAGTACTTACTCCATAGTTAAACTATTATAAAGTTACTTACACAAACTGATCATACATTATGTGACTTCCTCAACAAATTATAATATATAAATTAATTAACTTTAATAATAGTTACTAAAATTCCATTCCTCTATGACAACGCATAACAATGGAGCAGTAAGACTTTGGGGTGAGATGTGAGTTTTGGCACACATTAGATCTGTATTATCAAAAAATTCCCTGATGATTTTGAAAATCTGATGAGTACACCAGAAAGAGCAGCTTCAAAAATATATAAATATATAACTGTGTTACAATGCAGTCTGTAAAAATACTTCCCTGAGATTTCAGAGTTGTAGGCCCCGTTTTATCCCAATAGAACCATCCAAAAGTTTTTTTGGCATGTATGCAAATATATGTTTGAAACAATCACCTTTATTTTACCGTCCTGAGCTCCTGTTGCCATCATTTCTGAGTCTCGACTGAACGTCATACACAACACAGCATCATCCATCATCATAAAATTGTCCTGAAAAAACATTAAATTTTCATTTCACATGAGCACAAAATATTCCTACAAAGTTACAAAGCAATTGAAATAGAACTCCATCGGCTGTAAAATCATATATTTTTGTGAGGTTTAATTTTTGTGGGTTTTCAAATATTACTATTTTGTGAAAATTTGATGTCATAGATACAAGGAACTTGACTTCTTGCTTGTTAGTATGCCTGGTAGTTTTGTTGTTCTCATTTGAGAACGTAACATTACTTTGACTGACCACAACTTACATGACCGATGTCATCTATGAAGCAGAGGACACTTAGACCTGGTCTTATTCTCCTTTTGTTTAATAAGGAGTCTTGGTTAATTCTCTTTTGTTCATATCTTGGCCTTATCATGTTCATATGTCCTTTTACTGAAATACATATTTTCCTTGATAAAGCAGTTATTTTCTCATCATTATTTACAAGTCTGGGAAGTCACCCTACACTAACCTGGGCTTGGTATCGCAGATCTTTTCTGATTTTACCAGTGGTGAAGTTCCAGACCTCTACAAATCCATCGACAGACCCAGTGACCAGGTACTGACCATCTGGGGAGAAGCGGGCACACTCTATATGGGCTTTCTGTCCAAACTGTGGTAACAATAATGAAGAGTATTAAAAGAAAGTTTCTAGCAATCAAACGAAACAGTTTGCTGTTTTGATATTCAGTAAATATACAAATATCAATGGATTGAAAGCAAATTTAAAATATCAAGTGAGTTAAAATTTCAATCATGTAAAATTCTTTTTCAAGGGACTACACCACTTTAGTTTCAACCTGCACTATGGTGAAAATATCTACATCAAATCCATTAATGATAACAATTTGAGGAAGCTATATTCCAGTAGCTGAAGAAAAAATCAGTTATAAAATCTTTTTATCTTGACACGTTACCTTGATGGTCTTGCTGAGTTGTGTGGGGAATTTTTCTTCTTCTTGTTCCTTCACCGCGGCCTTTCCTCTGAACACATCAATGGTTGTCCCTGTTAATTATACAGGTCTGTGGTCAGACACCTTTAATACTATCACTCTGTTTCTCAACATCATCAACATGTATTGCCCGGGATCAGTATTGGCACTCCTTATCAAAGTGTATTATTTTACCTGTATGTTACAGTCACCTGTGTTAAGGTAAAACTTAAACTGACAGCTAGCTCTATTGTCTGTAAAATTGATCAAATATTTCACATTTTCTTTCTTATGTATATATGCACATAAGTTGTAAAATAATGTTTGTATTTGAAAGCAAATTTAACATCATATACAGAAGACGTTCACAGTGATAAATCTACTTAAGATTCCAGAGTTCCGAGCATTTTGAGAGGACTCATCAAACTTTATAGTGTAGGACTCATTGATTTCAGCAATGATATTGAAAGGCGCTTGTGAAAATAAGATTGTAAATTGATCGCAGTATTCATGTAATTATAGACTATGTTTATGGAAATAAACCCCTTGATGATATCAAACTCATTGAGATAAAGAAATTAACCCTCACAGAAATAATATTTAGTAAATCTAAGACATTTTCAAGTTCTACAATCTTCCAAATACAAATAGGTTATTATAAACCATTGCTTATGAATATTACCATGATTACAATGATGATTTATGATCTGATATCATGTAATCAACATTAATATATAAATCACAGTTCCTGAAAAAACATAATGTGGGTACAAGTCACATATGTCGGGGTACAAATCACATACCTTGGGGTACAAATCACATACCTCGGGGTACAAATCACATACCATGGGGTACAAGTCACATACATTGGGGTACAAGTCACATACCTTAAGGTACAAATCACATACTTTGGGGTACAAGTCACATACATTGGGGTACAAGTCACATACCTTAAGGTGCAAATCACATACGTCGGGGTACAAGTCACATACCTTGGGGTACAAGTCACATACCTTGGGGTATAAATCACATACCTTAGGGTACAAAGTACAAACCTTGGTGTACAAGTCACATAATACGGGGTACATGTCACATACCTGGGGATACAAGTCACATACCTTAGGGTACAAAGTACAAACCTTGGTGTACAAGTCACATACCTTAGGGTACAAATCTCATACCTCAGGGCACAAGTTACAGACCTGAGGATACAAGTCACATACCTGGGGGTAGGAGTCCCTGATGCTGCTGCCACTTGAGAGATTGTCCTAACAGAGCCAGTAGACGGGAGGGTGGTACAACATTGACCTCTCCAGCCAAGGCTGTTGCTATGGCGTTCCTTCTCCTTTCTTTGGTCTGACCTTCTTGGTATGCCTTTAGAGTAAATAAAACGGTAAGTATCAAAATAAAAAATTTACAGGTTTACACAAGATAATGACAGATATCTTTACTCATATTCATGTACCAAGGTGTATCTCTTTACTACTTTTCCTTTCTCTCTCTTTTTTTTCTTGCTGCTTTGTGAATCTACTTCTCTATAGATTAATCAAAATTCAATTTAAGATTGTTCCTTTTAATTGGTGATAGGATGTGAATCTAATTAGTGTAGTAAAAGCACATGAAAGCTGATATAATTTTAACAATATCACTTGATCAGTAAATTCAAACAGATTATTTAGAACTAAAAGAGGCCTGTAGGACATAATAGCTCCCACTCCCATAAACACTTTGACCTTTGACCTTTTAACCTTAACTGATGACCAGTTTAATATAATACTGTGTATAACTTGAAGTTGTGATACTGTGGAATATGGTAAATATAAATCCAATCTGTCAAGATGATCTCCAAAGGTGATATAAATTTTGAATGGAATGCTGATGCAACAACACAAGTACCTTTACATACTGTATACCCAATATATACTGGCCAGGGAGTATAAAGAAGAGAAAAACCCGACTGACCATTACCATGGACCAATGACCACTGAGACCTAATCAGGTGTAGACTTCGTCAATGTGATATCAAGGTTTCTATCTGAACTAAATCTATCGTAGGGTTCTTGACATATCATGTATACAAGTTTTTTCATTAGAAAAAGTGGTCAAGGCTGACCTATGACCTTTCACTTTGACCACATAGATCTAATCAGGTGTGGAACTTGGCCGGTGTGATGCTATTTATTGTTAATACTGTATGTCCTGATTATTGATAAACCATAATTAATGGCGATAGATTATCCTTATCAGCTGGATTACCTCTCTGGGATCAAAGTAAGATCGTGCAAGCATGTTTTCCAGATGGATGTATCGGTCTGGCTGGTTCTGTTTCATCATTATCATGGGGTCAGTCTGTCTCAGTAAAGATCTGGCTGCTCCTAACTCTCGTAATTCTATCAGCTCCAGCACAATCTGTAAAATAATTAATCTACATTTGCATCATACTTCCTTAATTTTAGTAAACTTTGTGTAATTTCAATACAGGAAACTTGGTGTAGTGAAAATTGAAAATCTCTAAAACAAACATAACCATCTTTCACACAAAATATTTTGATGAACTAATTAGTTTTTTAAAGTCTTACCAATGATACAAATCAGGGGAAGCATTCTTACTCCTAGTCAGGAAAAATTGATTAAATATTTGTTAGGATAATTACACTAGAGCATATTTGAAAAAGAAAGTTTATATATGTATGTCCCCCTACAGCTTTGAACATTTTGGAAACTGAATTTAACACAGTAAAATAACAAGCTTTATTCTGTTGGTTAAGCCTGCAGAAGCTAAAAATAGGTCCAAAATAAATCCCAAATTCTATTATGAAAACCAATTATTATTATTTGCATTTCGTTTTGCTGAAATTTCTGGACTAAATGTATATTTTTAATTTTTGTGTCCCATTAAACACCATCCATTGAAGAATGACATACCTAAAAAATGTTTATGAATATATGAACCACACAGTTGTACAAGTAGTACCCTTCATTACTAGAGTTACCTGTTCATAGAGGTCGATAAGTTTCTGGTCAGGGAGCTTAAGAGTCTGTATGGCCTGCAGCACTGTGTCCCAGTGACCGCTGTTGATATCCGACACAAACCCATCCACAGAGTCGACAGTATTGAGTGAGATTCCACTCTCCTCTTGAAGCACTGACAATGTCCTCAGTAAATTGTTTTCCTTTAAGTACTGCTCGATCAGACGTACAACACTACATAGAAATAAATAAATGTTTCACGGGAAAATTACATGTAAAATTTCAAATTAAAAATATACTCTAAATCTACAAATCAAGATAGTTTGGTATGTTTAATTTACATGAAAATGTTAAGAGGTCTGATATATAATTAACTGTTAACCTTGTCTTATATCAACTGCCTGAATTTTATAAAGTACAAAAACTGGATTCTGCTGGATCTTGTGAGGAAAATTTAAAGAAAATTATTGTGAATTGACAAGAATTGATCGTCTACTCATTTCTAGTGCTTGAAACACTCTCTGTTAGTCTACCATGTGTGCTTCAAACAATATGTTGTACAAATATCTTAGCACTATAATTCAACTGATACAAATTTGATATTTCACTAAGTTCAGATTATATTAACAGCTGAGCATATCAACCATATCAGAACACTAAACTGAAAGAAGACCATTATGCGGACCATGAACAAAAAACTATCTTAACCAATTGTCTTACCAATAATCATAACAACACTATATGAATAAGAAAAAACAAAATTATTTCTAAGGTTATATCATGAATAATATTTTTTCAAGGCACGTTTCAGCGTCACTACAATTTGCACGTATTTGCATTCCTTCGGCTTCACTCAGTGTCTGTCAACTGTTCACGAATTACTGCGGTCCTGTATGGATTATAATTTTATAATAAACGTAAAATGAATAAACAATCTTATTTGTTTTTATCACTTGTTTCCTTCTTTGAAATTGTATTCATAAAAACATTATCAATCTAATCTCTAACTTGATTACTGAAGCAGTATGACTTCACAGCAGACAATCGATTGTTGTTATCACCAACCGAGAGTGTATTCTGAAGTAAATTCAGAGTGCATTCTTCTTTTTACTGAATCTTAAGACTGAAATAAAATAAATTCTAAGTAATGAAAGTTTTAAAAAGCTGATAAGATACACAGATCGTGCAAACACTCGGATTAACACGTCAACTTACTCTGCTGACTCTATTTCGACCGCCATGCTTGTGTTTACAGGAAGTCGGGATCTCCTAAACGCTTCCTTCTGTTAACTCCAATGAAGCGAAACAGTTGTGTGACTATGATGTTTATTGATTTTAGTAGAAGTGGCGGGTAGTTTAAACCTTGTTTTGAGGGGATAAAAAGTATCTGTCGAGACATGATATAACAGATATGGATAAACGAAAATGATCGGTTGAGTTCCAATCAACCAATGAACGTTTAGTATTAATAGCATTTTTGTGGGATATAATACATCCAAGCCTTTTCTTCTCATTTTTCTTTTCGTCATGCCAAAATTATATTTACTTTTCTGATTTTTTTCAGTTAAATATATTGTTATCAGACATAGTCTAATAAACATTCTATGTAGATGAAACTGTTGACCACAAATTGAACACTTTTAGCAAATATGTCAGTGAGATTATTGATATCTGTACATGTATACATGTAGCCCACAGTCGGATAGAAAAATCAAACCCTTAGAAAATGTTACTTTTATCTTGAAAAAGAACACCACCACCACCACCACCATCATCATCCGAAAGGATTCAATAATTAAACATTGTCTCATTTATCATTAACCGGTAACGTCCTTATGATTCCTTTCGTGTCTTTCTAATGATTCATCGTCGCAAGGATTCTACAAAATATTTGTCGGTGTTTCCCATCTGATCGAGTTGGAAAATCAATATATTTATCAACAGACATATGTCCTCTTCATAAGTATGTTATTGTTTAGTATGTAGAAAATATCGAAATGTCAACAAAATATTAATATATAAAATGATGTGGTTTTTGTTTTTTTGTGTAAAAACTATGGTGTCACAGTCATTTTTCGCTGATGCGACTTTTCTGAAGATGTTTTCTGTACAAACTATGGTGTCACAGTCATTTTTCGCCGACACGACTTTTTGTTGTTGTTGTCTGTAAAAAGCTATGGAGTCACAATTATATTTCGCTGACAAAACTTTTCTGAATATGTTTTCTGTAAAAGCTTTGGCGTCACCTGATCAGCTTGTCGAATTACGTGATAAATTACATTTAAGCAGGTTTTAACGTTTTTAATCAAGGGTCTCGTGATACCACTGATATACATACACAGGTAGATTGTGTACAGGTGATATACATACACGGGTAGATTGTGTACAGGTTATATACATACACATGTAGATTGTGTACAGGTTATATACATACACAGGTAGATTGTGTACAGGTTATATACATACACAGGTAGATTGTGTACAGGTTATATACCTACACAGGTAGATTGTGTACAGGTAATATACATACAAAGGTAGATTGTGTACAGGTAATATACATACACGGGTAGATTGTGTACAGGTGATATACATACACGGGTAGATTGTGTACAGGTTATATACTTACACAGGTAGATTGTGTACAGGTTATATACATACACAGGTAGATTGTGTACAGGTAATATACATACACAGGTAGATTGTGTACAGGTTATATACATACACAGGTAGATTGTGTACAGGTAATATACATACACAGGTAGATTGTGTACAGGTAATATACATACACAGGTAGATTGTGTACAGGTAATATACATACACAGGTAGATTGTGTACAGGTTATATACATACACAGGTAGATTGTGTACAGGTTATATACATACACAGGTAGATTGTGTACAGGTTATATACATACACAGGTAGATTGTGTACAGGTTATATACATACACAGGTAGATTGTGTACAGGTAATATACATACACAGGTAGATTGTGTACAGGTAATATACATACACAGGTAGATTGTGTACAGGTAATAAACATACACGGGTAGATTGTGTACAGGTAATATACATACACGGGTAGATTGTGTACAGGTAATATACATACACAGGTAGATTGTGTACAGGTACACATGTGATCTGGATATTTCCGTACGTAAATATTTATCACATAAAAGCGGAACAAAGATAGCACAAAAGGCACATCATCATCCTTTAAGAAAATTTAAAAATAGATACAGTAGTGTCAAAAAAGTTCAGTAAACAGCATCACTCAGCTGATATTTTCAAACCATTGTCGTCTCTTGTGGACGATTGTTGTATTTTATTTTGTGAATGGTTATTCGATATTACTGTATATCTTGTCAAATACGTTCTCTTGAATAAGGCTGCTGTACATCTCTTTGACATTATCAGTATCTTTATCAAGATCTTCCACGCTGAGCTGCAGTTCCCTATATAACGCCTCTATAAACACTTTGATGCAACTCTTAATGTAATAACGTCGCTTAATGTAATAATTATTACAATAAGCGTTATTTTTATTACATTAAGCGGGGCAACTGTTACGTTTAATGTAATAATTATTATATTAGCGCCGTTATTACACTAAGAGTTGCGTCACACCTAATCCTTGAACACTTATGGAATTGCATCTTCTACATGATGAATTAAAATACATCATATCTTCCCTGCAACACGAAATGATCCTATTCCAAACAGTAGCGTGTTTCATATGCAGACATATCTTCTTATTGAGAAATATTCTTTTTCTTTGTGTGACATGAAGCTGGACGTATTTGATGCTCGTTAGTTTGCCTGTTGGTTCCGTTGTTGTATACCTTGTTCTCATTTGAGAAGGAGACATTATATACTTGGATTGACCAAGGTTTTACATGACGGGTACCGTCGATGAAGCAAAAGACCCTTGCTTTTCCGCAACACTTGTACTTTTTCAGGAGTCTTTGTGTAAATCTTTCTTTTTTTCATATTTTGCCCTAGCTTTATGGAATTGCGCAATTTCCATTGTGTTGCAATGATGGTATTTCCGTGATTTTTTGGTAGAATTTTCAAATGATCCACGATGTAAAATATAATTAATGGTTAAGTGACAATTGGACTGATTTTTATCGGTTTTAAATTCTCTGCCAGGTTCCAATAGTTTTGGCTCCTGGCATCAGTGACGAATTCTGGAAGGATGACAAAACTGAATAATGTATTTTATGTAAAGTTGGTTTCAACATTTACTGTAACCGTTTATTGATCTGTATTGATTGTATTTCGTACAATTGTTCTACAGAAATTCATGAAATTAACAATTATATATAATATGTTTATATATAATAATATAATGAGGCTCAAGAATGTAGACTTTCGCAACGATAAAGAGGTTTGTAACTTGATCTCTCGGAGAGATTAACTATGATTGTATTTCGACTTACACACGGAAATATTAAAATTGTATTTACTAAATAAGCACAAAGTTTTCCATGAAGGAATTTATTAATCTTTTTTTGGAATGAGAATACACTATTAAGGACATTGTCCTTTTACACAAACAGTTAACGGGTTTTATATAACAACACATTTCATACGAGCGTGGTGTTACTTGTATCTACCAGAACATAATAATGCTTACAGTGTAATGCACTATTCTGAAATTGCCTTTTTAAAAACATTTATTCTGAAGTTTGTAAACATTTATATTATTCCAACAAGTGTAGAAACAGTATGTTTCTATAACGGATTGTAGTAGTATACCTTGTTCAACAGATTTTATTTTTCTCAAACCTCAACTGCTACTTTACTCATATGAATAATTTTTGAATTCGAATTTTGATTATATCTATTTTATTACTATATGTTCCAATCTACACAATACGTGAACACGACCTGGATGCAGATATCTTAATTAGACACTGTATTTGCCAAAGAATGGGATGAGTTTCCTCCCTTTTCATTCAATTAAAAGCGTCTGCGGATCGTTCGTTTACATTTCATGTGTGATTGAAGCTCTTTAATAAGCAGCATTGCATACTCAAGTTTGGTAATTACTTAGTTAAACTCCCCCGCTCCCTAATTTCATGTCGTGCACATTGTGTTAACTATTCCTGCAAGTAGCTTGATTTCTGAAAAGATTTTGATGAAACTATATTCTAAAGTCAAATATGAAAATACTTCTCTTGAGTTACAAGGAAAGGTCCAACTTCACTGCTAATTTAAATATGAAATTTTCGATTAATGGAAGTAATTTGCCCGAGCAGGATCCATTCATGTCCTACACTTTTTCTAGATTTATTAGTGTTTTCAAATCAATCCCCACCTTCTGATCATTTTGTTTCCAATGCCTCTTACATCAAATTTTATAATGGTCTATTGGATATTATCTCAGCTTTTAACGCTGAGTATTATCTATGTCCCCCAACCCCTCCTAATATTTCCATTAAAGTATAAGGCATGGTCAATTTGTGAGTGTTCCGTTCAGAGAGTTGATGAATAAGACATTGTCTCTGTTAATATTGTCCACCATTCTGAGTTCTAAAGGGATTTTCCTTTTTCAGTAATTTAACATATTATCTGTGCTTGTTTTCAAAAAAACATTACGTTACATAACCATTATTCAGAATGTTCCAATTCCTGACTCTGTCTTTTGCCAAAGATCTCGGAATAGTTATGGACCTCCTCTATTATGACCCCAAGATAGGGAGAGATCCTGTCATTGTCTTATTCTTTCATCTTAGCTTCAATCCTTTACATGTGTTCCCGTGTTCCTGTGTTAGGGGTTTTTACTTCTGTCTCTGTCTGACAGCACCTAACATCTGTACTTCTTCTTGCTCAGAATGTCTTCTATTCTCCCACTTCACCTTTCATATAGTTTATCATTCCATATCTTCACTCGTTTCACTTTTTGAGCTGTTCCACGATCTCAGACACTATTTCAGACTCCATCATTTTAACTTGTTTTATCGGCTGTCATTTCCTTCTTTGCTGAGGATCATACCAAATGCTTATTTCATAATTGGTTTTTATTGCTGGTTTTATTTGTTCACCTAGCTCGACATCTTTGGGGATTTGGCTATTTCTACTATTAAAAAGTAGAATTTTATAGTTGGGTATGGAATCATCTTGGTGAGACGGTTTGTTATTATCAAAAGTAGGTCACTCTGACATATATTGTTACATTTGACCTACATTACACAAAGTTTGGACTCTTCCTGTCTCAGAACGTGTTCCTGGAACTTCATACTTGGTGTACAGGTTTACCATGATGAGGTGTCGGTATTTCACGCAATGGTCTAATGTTATTGACTATGTTATACTGGAGGGGCGCTGTGATCATTTGTATCTATGAAGTGAAATCTCCTGTATATTGCAATGTTGATCCTTATTGTACTATTTAACCATACGTATATCCTAAAAATTCAATACCAGCAATGGTATAACAACAACGTCAATATTTTCCCCTTTCAGCGTGACAAAAGACCCACCAACAGAAAAATGTCTAATCGTTATCTGTTGAGTCAGAGCAAGGTGGTGTCAAACTGACCACGTGATCACATAAACTAGGAAGACAAAAACAGTAAAACGATATAGATAGCTAACAGGTTTTTATTAAAGTGAATCATAATAACACTGAACATTATGGCGAGTACCAGAGTTCTGTGGCGTGCCCAGGAACCTGTCATATATACGTGTTCTGTTTGTGATAGCGAAGACAACGTAAACTGGTTCTGTAATGACTGTCAGGAGGCTTTATGTGACCAATGTAAGGAATACCATACATGGTGGAAGAAATCTAAACACGATGACGTTGTATCGATAGGGAAGGTTAACCGTCAGATCGACAAACCTGTATCAGAGGTATGCAAACTACATCCCGGTAAATTATGTGACGGGTACTGTTGTGATTGTGACATGTTGGTGTGTTCGATATGTCTTTCACAGACACATAAACACCAGGACTGGAAACATTTGGAAGACGAATTTACATTGAAAAAACAACATATGAAAGAACACATGACAACAATTTCTGCGAAAATTACACATTTCAAGAACGACACTTTAATGCTCCATCGTGCTAAGAAAGAAATTGTTGACAATATTGATGGAATGCGAAAAGAGGTGAACTCTCAGAGGACCAAACTAAAGGCAGAAGTAGATGATATCGCGGATACAGTGCTGACAGAGTTATCGGCCTTGGAGAAAGAAGGGCTGGGTCAGTCCGATGAAGTCCGTCAACAATTCGAGAAAAATGTGAGCGAATTGACACGTCTTCTTGTAAAAGCGGAATTGAAGAATTCATCAAATGTGTCCATATTTGAAACGGAGAGGTCATTGAGGTCAACTCTGCCGTTGTATGACGTAAACGTGGGAAATAGTTCCCAAAAAATCCCAAGCTTTGTTACCGGAAGTATTAACCGCAGTCTGTTAACGGAAATGTTTGGAGTATTAATCCGTTCGAAACAGTACGCGAAGGTAGACATCAACAGTAACCACGTTAAACAACTATCTAAGTTCACTGTCGGTCAAAACATACTCAATATATGTGCAATAGACGACAGGCATGCGTGGTTATCAATTTACAATCACAAAGGTCTTGTACTGGTCAACAGGGAGGGTGTGGTCACAGAGGAAATGAAACTGGACTTTTGTCCGTACAGAATAGCTATGATAGGGGCAACCGACGTACTTATGTCTAGTGATCCATCCAGTACATCAGTGTATAAACTATCACTACACAACAAACAAGTGACAACATTTGCTGACATCAGTCCACATCAAGCAAGTGACATCAGCATCAACAAGACAGGCGATGTGTTTGTTACTACCGAAACACCAGACATAGTGGTACTGAATCAGTCAGGTACGATTGTAAGGAAGTTTTCCTGTGGGAAGGATATATCACTGTATATAACTAGTTTGTCATCAGGACGCCTGGGTGTGGTGGTAGGTGACTGGGGGAAAATGAAAATAGTCATGACAGATGAGTCAGGTACGGTCAAAAACAGATGGACAGGTGAACTGGACAACGGTCGATCAGCTCGAGATATCTTTCTATGTAAGATGTCATGTGACGAGTACGACAGACTATTTATACCAGACTACAGTAACAATCAGATATATGTCCTACCGAGTGATGAGAAACAGGCCAAGTGTCTTTTGGACCAGAAACATGGAGTGGTTTTACCTACAGTTGTGAGTGTGGACAAGTTTGGGAACGTGTGGATTGGATGTTTGGACGGTACTGTACACATCATACGACTGTAACAGTTATAACACCAGTGACGTCAGACTGGTGTAAACAGTGTAATGAAGACATTAACATCAAAAATGTAAAGATATCAGATACAAGTGGTAGAAACAATCACCTCGATCAGCAGACTGATATTCTGAATCAGATGACTTACATATGAAGCTGAAATAACGAACTCCTCAGGTTAAAGTTAAAGTCCGGGACTGGGACGTTTTGTGATTTGTTAAAAATATGTCATTTCTTTATCGGGTCGAATGTCCTTTTTCTAATCTGTCCATATACAAGCTGCAAGCCGACATATGATCTGATCCACCTGGGTTTGGTATGATGAGCGTATAATTCGGTACGGTGAGTACAGAAACCTAGATATCTCTTGTATGTAGAATGCAAGATTCTAATGAATATCGCGTTTCGGTAAGAAATGTTTCCATTTGTGGCAGATGAATTTAGTGACAATTTTATGTTGAAAAGTTTTCGAGCAGATTATACGATATTCTGAGACAGAAAACTGCACCCCACATCCTCCTCCATGACGTTTACGGCTGGACAGGCCGTTTAAGTTAGATTTTACCATGTCACCATTCTATACTGCTATTTTATCGCTACCGATACTTCTTAAATGGTGTTTGAAAAAGTTTCCTCGTTTGATTAAGATTGTCGAATTAAAACATATAATCAAGGTGGATGTTCTTGTTTGTTAATTTTAATTCTCTATTAAAGACTGTATTATGAAATATCTTAATGATTGCTGGCATTTGCCGAAGGAGACAGGCACAGATCGGAAGCAATTTAGAACATAACTACAGTCGAACCTTGCTATCTCAAGCTCGTAGAAATCAAAGACTTCGTTTAATTCGAAGCATTTCAACAGACCCTGTCTAACTTTCCACAAAACATTCGAGCTCACTTAAATCGAATACTAGGTTATGACGAAGTTTCCCCGAGTTCGAGATAACAAGGTTCGGCTGTAAATGTTCTTTAATTTGTTTTATTTATGGAATCTATAAGACAGCCGCTCAGTAACTATGCATGTTCTATGTCTCTAAGTTTACTCAGATATACACAGTATATGTCCAGTTACACTTAGTTATCTATACATTACAAAGGTCTGATACTGATCAATATACAAGATGAAGTCAAAGATGAACTAAAACTTCGCAGTGTCATGAGTATAGAATATAAGTATAAATGACATAATTATGACAAGTGTTCCCTTAATACAAGTGTATAGATTAGCACTAAACCACATACAAATGATCATATATGCCGACATCACTCCACATACAGCAAAAGACATTAGTATCATTAAAATGGCCGTGGTGAATATTCTAGTTCTTTGTGTGATACGAAAATGAAGGTGTGGGATGCTTGTTAGTTTGCCAGCTGGTTCCATTGTTATATACCTTGTTCCAGAACGTTACATTACTTACTTGAATTGACCCATATTTACATGGCGTAGATGAAGTAGAAGAGGCTTATTCTCCCGGTCTCCATGGCTGGTATCGCCGATGAAACAGAAGGCGTTTACTCTTAAGGGCTCCATGCAAATTTCGTCGATGAAGCAGAAGGCATTTTCTTTATCGTTCTCCATGGCTGGTGTCGTCGATGAAGCAGAAGGCGCTTTCTGTTCCGGTCTCCATGGCAGGTGTCGTCGATGAAGCAGAAGGCGCTTTCTGTTCCGGTCTCCATGGCAGGTGTCGTCGATGAAGCAGAAGGCGCTTTATCTTCCGGTCTCCATGGCAGGTGTCGTCGATGAAGCAGAAGGCGCTTTATCTTCCGGTCTCCATGGCGGGTGTACCCGATGAAGCAGAAGGTGCTTACTCTTCCGGTCTAACTATCCTTGTACGTTTTTTTAGGATTCTCCCTATGAACGTTTTGTTAATATTTGTGCTACTTATATTGAATTAGAGTTTGGATAATGATTATGTTGAAATGTTTTTATTTTCTTGTTTTAGTACCCTGACATCAGATGGTACTCAATATAGCTGGTACGATAGTTGTCCTGTCCGAAGGACTCACTCTAATACGTAATATATTTGCCATATAGATGTGTTTAAAAGGTGAATATTGAGGTAGGGACATGATGATAACAACAGATGAATCTGGTGCGATCCTACACAGATGGATTGGTATGCTTGTGGTATGTGTGTCTGGAAAATATCGGACCAGTATAATAATTAGACGCATGGTCTATCACATGATTAAGAAACCCTTCAAATGTCTTCTGGTCTTCTAAGTGACAATTTAAACATGATTGCTCTTAATCTTTACAATTTGAAGAAATATCCGTCCGATGCATGTGATGGATATTGGACAGAAAATCAAAACGACTAAACTTTAATTTGAACCGAAAGTACAGAACAATAGACGGATAGAGGTTTTAGTGAAGGCTCCTTCTGTGATGTTTGTCATTAACAGAAGCAATAACGTTATTCCCTAACTGCCGACCCTATCTCCTGAAAGTCTACAATCTACAGTTACAGGGATTGCTGTGAAAAGGGAGGCAACTTTTCCTCATATCACTAAGCATTTTCCTGATATTCATGGCACATTATTCATTAATCGAGTTAATCTATCTCACTGTTATTGTTTAGATAGGTTTTCACCGTTTTATCTTTTTCACAATAATATACTTATGCGTGTTAGGTTAAGGTTGTGTTATATAAAGTAAATTGTTACCGTCAACAAAAACTAAAAATGATGACGTCGTATCGATAGGGAAGGCTGACCATCAGGTTGACAAACCTGTACCAGAGGTATGCAAACTACATCCCAGTAAACCACGTGACGGGTACTGTTGTGATTGTGACATGTTGGTTTGTTGATGTGTCTTTCACAAACACATAAACACCACGATTTGAAGCATTTGGAAGATGGGGAAGGTTTAATCTAGCATTATCGGTGTCTTGTCCTACAATAGCTTAGACATGATTTTCGTGTGGAAACGGTTATTTTAGGTAAAGATGGACCTTATGTTGCACGATCATTCACACCTATCCTCATCCTTAAAAAAATTATGGAAAATTTCAGTTTTACTACTTTACAGATAAGCTTTCCGTGGCAGCGTGTCGAGCACCGATACCAATACCCTCTGTCAATAAACTAATACTAATAGCGCGTATTGTTACCCATTCAGTCTAGTGAACGAGCCAATGTCGGGATTTCGTATTCGGATTCTTGCTAGTCATAAGAGACATATAAAGATTTTAGTCTGTCATTAAAATTGTATACAATATAGTGGATATGTGATATCATACAAAAACTTAAAGACTTAATGGACAGAGTGACGGGGATGTGGAACACCGTACACTCAAGGTATCTGTTCATTTTGATATATAACATGCAGAATTAAGTCATTTTTATGTACTTTTATTCCATGAATATTTTATTTTTTGTTGTTTGTATGCAAAATGCCGCTCTCTGATTCATCGATTTTTCTATTTATTTCTCGATGAAAAACAAAATAGATCCGCCTTTTTGATAATGATTGGAAGAGTCAATGGCAACACGCGGGTCTGTTGGAACTTCTTTTTTTGTGTGTGAATGGAATATCTGTTTACACATTCACCAGGCATCAGGATCATGAAACTACCTCAAGACTAAAAGTGTCAAAATGTTTAGACTTAACCAATCACTGATAACGTCACGAAAAGAGATGTCATTTGTGATTGGCTAACTAAAGTTTGAAGTTTAAGATTTACGTGTAAGACTTACGATTACAGGATGGATTTCAGTTCTGATAGAGCCTTTGACTTTGGTGCCGAAAATAATCTTCTGAAAAGTGAAGCAGCTTCACCTAATCTGCTGTATCAGTATCATCGATGATTCTAGCCAAGATCCTCTTCTCCCACTCACCATTGTCACAAATCACAACTGCTTTTCTTTTATCAGCACTATCTGGCTGACGATGTAAACAAACCACTTGTCACATTTACATCCCTTCGCTTTTTGTCCGACACGATACATTTCTGTTTGGAATGTCATGGACCCACTCACGAATTCATTTTGAATGACTGAAAATGGCGCGAATAAATACTTTTTGTAAATGTTGTAAATGGTTACTTTGCTTTGATGGCCTTAACCATTTTTGAAACAGGCATGGTAAAATGTATACGCTTTTCAAGAGGAACGTCAAGAATTGAAAACAAAGCACGATTTCGTGTATTGAAATTGAAAAGAACGGAGAAAAAAACAGTTCAAAAGTAGTCCCATATTTAATCGCTGTTGGAGCCATCCTGGATCTCTTGTGGGTGCTCTACAAGTAGACGCATTTCACGTATAAAAGTGAAAAAACGACAGGTGTAATCTTTCCCTGTGTAACACCGGTCAACAGATGAAAGACTCTTGGTGTATGTTTAGAAATTTATTGGTCCGAGGAGAAAGACCTATAATATAAATAAAAGACTTCTTACGATCACTTCCATACAGTTCATACTCGTTCTTGCACACAAGATCTCGCACCACTGATCAGACAAAATCGAGGTAAGAATTCTGCTGTGTACTTACCAGGGTCTGTGCTGGGGGTCCAGAAATATCAGATCGCGTCCGTCCACCAGCATAGGCAACGTAAGAGTGAAGCCTATACTGGTAGCATCACTTAGGTGGCGGGAAAGGGTGAAAGGGTAACATGCGTCCAATCACACGCTCACAGTACATATATCCCTATGTGCACTGGTGACCCTACGACCCGAATATATTTAACCCAGGTTACATACTCCCCCGCAGAAATAAATGTCTCAAGCATTTACCACGCTTAAATATATTCGCACTTACTACTGGAATAGGTAAGACAGCGGAACAACATAAGGTATGATTTGCCAAATCACCAATATTGTGCTAGCAACAATATTGTTGTTGCACAGGGTTAACAGATTCCTGATACTTATAGGGAAGATACTGCTAAACAAATCCCTGTCCATACTATCTAAGAGAACAGAACAGAAACTATACAAAGTTTGACTCTACAGCTAAGCTTGAGTTTGCTCTGGAGAACCTCTTATCAGAGAGACATATA